TGAGGGATCAGCCCAGAACTACACGGCAGGACCTGGTCAATGACCTGAAGAGAGCTGGGACCACAGTCTCAAAGAAAACCATTAGTAACACACTACGCCGTCATGGATTAAAATCCTGCAGCGCACGCAAGGTCCCCCTGCTCAAGCCAGCGCATGTCCAGGCCCGTCTGAAGTTTGCCAATGACCGTCTGGATGATCCAGAGGAGGAATGGGAGAAGGTCATGTGGTCTGATGAGACAAAAATATAGCTTTTTGGTCTAAACTCCACTCGCCGTGTTTGGAGGAAGAAGAAGGATGAGTACAACCCCAAGAACACCATCCCAACCGTGAAGCATGGAGGTGGAAACATCATTCTTTGGGGATGCTTTTCTGCAAAGGGGACTGGATGACTGCACCATATTGAGGGGAGGGTTGATGGGGCCATGTATCGCGAGATCTTGGCCAACAACCTCCTTCCCTCAGTAAGAGCATCGTGGCTGGGTCTTTCAGCATGACAACGACCCGAAACACACAGCCAGGGCAACTAAGGAGTGGCTCCGTAAGAAGCATCTCAAGGTCCTGGAGTGGCCTAGCCAGTCTCCAGACCAATAGAAAATCTTAGGAGGGAGCTGAAAGTCTGTATTGCCTAGCGACAGCCCCGAAACCTGAAGGATCTGGAGAAGGTCTGTATGGAGGAGTGGGCCAAAATCCCTGCTGCAGTGTGTGCAAACCTGGTCAAGGTCTACAGGAAACGTATGATCTCTGTAATTGCAAACAAAGGTTTCTGTACCAAATATTAAGTTCTGCTTTTCTGATGTATCAAATACTTATGTCATGCCATAAAATGCAAATTAATTACTTAAAAATCATACAATGTGATTATCTGGATTTCTGTTTTAGATTCCGTCTCACAGTTGAAGTGTACCTATGATAAAAATTACAGACCTCTACATGCTTTGTAAGTAGGAAAACCTGCAAAATCGGCAGTGTATCAAATACTTGTTCTCCCCACTGTATGGCAAATAGAAATCCTATATGGATGGTGTTAAAAGATAGATGGGAGGTGTTGAATGGAATTGAAGGATGGGACTAATAACAACTAACAACAAACAATAACAAGATAACGAATAATGTAAGCATACTGTGTCCATAATAAGTATATAGGTTGTAGGTTGGGAGCTTTTGTGAAAGAGCACAGTTAGAAAGATATGGCATATAGAAGCAAACCGGATGGACTTCATGAAAATGATCGGAGAGGTTGAGAGTAGAAGAAGTTCAGGAGAAAAAACAAACAAAATATAATTATTGTAATTTAATTCTTGTAAAATTGACTGTGTCCATAAAATGTAGATAGTAAGTATACGCTGGAAGTAGAGGCCTAAGCATTGTTGTTCACTAGTTTACTCCAAGTAGAGAAAGAGTGGCGGGGTTGGAAAGTAATAAAGGGGAATATATATATATATATATATATATATATATATATATTTTTAAAGGATATGTATGTGTGGGTATGTGTGTATATGTGCATGTATATGTATGTGTGTGTATATATATATATATATGTGTATATATGTATATATGTATATATGTGTATATGTGTGGGGGATTGGAAGTGATGCAGACAATTAAATTGATGGAAGTTACAATCTATCTGCAATATTAAGCTGATCTACCCCCCCAAAAAAAAGATTTTAAAAAGATTTTTAAAAACAAGCCATGAGGTCGAAGGAATTGTCCATAGAGCTCCGAGACAGGATTGTATCGAGGCACAGATCTGGGGAAGGGTACCAAAACATTTCTGCAGCATTGAAGGTCCCCAATAATACAGTGGCCTCCATCATTCTTAAATGGAAGAAGTTTGGAAACACCAAGACTCTTCCTAGAGCTGGCCTCCCGGCCAAACTGAGCAATCGGGGGAGAAGGGCCTTGGTCAGGGAGGTGACCAAAAACCCGATGGTCACTCTGACAGAGCTCCAGAGGCCCTCTGTGGAGATGGAAGAACCTTCCAGAAGGACAACCATCTCTGCAGCACTCCACCAATCAGGCCCTTATGGTAGAGTGGCTAGACGGAAGCCACTCCTCAGTAAAAGGCACATAACAGCCCGCTTGGAGTTTGCCAAAAGGCACCTAAAGGACTCTCAGACCATGAGAAACAAGATTATCTGGTCTGATGAAAGCAAGATTGAACTCTTTGGCCTAAATTCCAAGCGTCACGTCTGGAGGAAACCTGGCACCATCCCTATGGTGAAGCATGGTGGTGGCAGCATCATGCTGTGGGGATGTTTTTCAGCTGCAGGGACTGGGAGATTGGTCAGGATCGAGGGAAAGATGAACGGAGCAAAGTACAGAGAGATCTTGAACTTGAACCCGATCGAACGTCTCTGGAGAGACCTGAAAATAGCTGTGCAGCGACGCTCCCCATCCAACCTGACAGAGCTTGAGAGGATCTGCACAGAAGACTGGGAGAAACTCCCCAAATACAGGTGTGCCAAGCTTGTAGCGTCATACCCAAGAATACTCAAGGCTGTAGTAGTCATTGCTGAAGGTGCTTCAACACAGTACTGAGTAAAGGGTCTGAATACTTATGTAAATGTGATATTTCCATTTTTTATTTTTAATACATTTGCAAAAATGTCTAAACCTGTTTTTGCTTTGTCATTGTGTGTAGATTGATGATATTGATGAGAGTCATGATGGCACAATAAATGGCACAAATGGCACAAACTATTGATTGAATTAACTAATAATGAACTCACAAATAATTAACTTTACAATCACCATTGATCATTTCTTGATAAATAAATAAATACCGTTAAATATACGAGTTTCACAAAGTAGGGAACTTTATTTTCAGAGGGGATGGATGTGATTCTGTTCAGAGAGATATGAAGGAATATAATGTTAATGAACAAAGCATGAGAATGATTTTGGTTAATGCTATAACTTCCAATAGCACAAGATAAATACTTTTATAAACGACTTAACGTTAGTAAATTACTGTATAAAGCAACAATATTAATATAAAAAAGTAATATAACAACTAACAACATTTGTAACACCAACTCACCTCTGTTCTCTCACTTCATCATATATACTGAGTGTACATGAACACCTGCTCTTTCAATAACGTTATGTTGGATTACATGGAAATGATATCCACATTTGTGAGTCCATTTCCTTGGCACTATCTTAATAATTTCTGTTGCATGAAAAAAATTAAAACCCTAACACAGCAAACGTGAGAGCAAAAAACATCAGCAGGTGACTGGTTTGCTTGTGTAAATGCAGATCAGAGGTTGGCGCAGTGGTTTTCTTTTTAAGATTCTGCACATTAAAGTCTTATGCAATTCATTATTGATTGATTCAGTGTTTGTGTTATTGATGACCACATTACTATTAGCACCCTACTCATGAAAAATGTGTTTAATAATAGCCATAATAATATTAATGCTAATGCTCATTTAAACGAAAATCATGAAAAATGAAGGTTTCTTACGAGTGTACTATTATATGGTTAAGCATGGTTTTAATCTGCGAGAGAAGCGCTACCCCTGGTGGAAAGACACTGTACGGCACACGATGAGTTGTATAATGTGTGCCGTACGTTACGTTGTGACACGTCACGATGTAACGTACAGTGTCAAGAGTTTTTTTCCATATTTTCTCGAATACTATTGGTCCATTACCATGTCAATCAACGCTTGAATAGAAACGTAGTTTACACCCCGGATTTTGATTTTATTTATATATATATATATTTTTTTTTATTATTATTATTTTTTTTTTTTAGTAGACGCTCTTATCCAGAGCGACTTACAGGAGCAATTAGGGTTAAGTGCCTTGCTCAAGGGCACATCAACAGATTTTTCACCTAGTCGGCTCGGGGATTAGAACCAGCGACCTTTCGGTTACTGGCACAACGCTCTTACCCACTAAGCTACCTGCCGCCCTGCCAACAGAGTCGCTACAGTCCCATTAGTTTTCATTTCAGCCTTGTTAGAATGACGCGGTTACGCAAAATGTGTACGGAACACTGTTAGTAACGTAACAAAATATGGAAAGAGTCAAGGGGTCTGAGTACTTTCTGAATGCACTGTATAGCCTGGTTCAGTGGCCTTGTGATTAGAGTGCCCGTCCTAAGATTGGAAGGTTGGGAGTTCGATCTGATGCATCTCTGCTTGAGACTCAGCATTAAAGAGAGACTGGGGTTAAGGCCCTGCGATAGAATAGTGTCCTGTCCAGGGGGTGTACTTGTACATAGGCTCCTGCTCCTATGAGCTGTACCAGCTAGCACAAGCTAAGGCTCATGCAAGGCTACTTACTTTTTTACTTTAGCCTGGTCCTATTGAATTATTAACAAAAGGGTCATTGTAATATACAAATGTGCCACTGCCTTATAGTATGTCTGTGACTGTTTCATAGTAGTTTTCCCACCAAGTTCTTGTATTTACTCAGTAGCCCAATTACCAGTCCAACTCTTGGATGTGTCCTGTACTGTGTGTAGGCTAATGTGAGAGTCATTTACCAAAGCTTTCCGACAGTTGAGTATAATGCTATTATTTCTTCTTCTTCCTTGTCCCTCTCCTCCTCCTCTTCCTCCACCCTCCTCCTTGACCTCCCCGCTCCCAGGCCCAGATAGCCCACCTGGTCCTGGAGGATGGTACCCGGATGAAGGGCTTCTCCTTTGGGGATGAACACTCTGCTGCCGGGGAGCTGGTCTTCAACACCGGCCTGGTGGGGTAAGAGATCAGTCTTGTCTAAATTTACATTACATCATTTAGCAGACGCTCTTATCCAAAGCGACTTACAATTAATAGTCAGTCATCATCATTGCTAAAGTGCATGGATCACAATATGTTTACATTGTGGTGAGACACTTTTGTCCTGACCAGGGGACAGGTAACCGGTCTTGCCAACTCCTATGGTCACTCTCATACCAAACATGACAGCAACCATAGGAGTTGGCTACAGCACAAACAGACTACCTATGTATATGTATAATAACTACACTTTTCTAAAGGTACCCAGAGGCTTTGACTGACCCCAGCTATAGAGGTCAGATCCTGACCCTGACCTACCCCATAGTGGGGAACTATGGCGTTCCAAACACTCAGGAGCTGGATGAGCTGGGCCTGAGAAGGAACATCGAGTCAGACCGGATACAGGTCGGTCTGCTGTGTATATGTGTGTTAGTGATGTGTGGGTTGATTCATAACCCGCAGTCCTCGTGGTTATATCCACGGGGCGGACGGGTTTAGGGTCATGAAATATTGTGTGGATGAAGGGTGGGCGGTTGGCGGGCAGGTTCAATAAAGAGAAAACAATGTATAATCATTATTTTTTAAAGTATAATTCTGGGGCCTCCCGAGTGGCGCAGCAGTCTAAGGCACTGCATTGCAGTGCTGAGGCGCCACTACTGCCTCCAGTTCGATCTCAGGCTGTGTCACAGCCAGCCGTGACCAGGAGCCCCACAATTGGCCCAGCGTCGTCCGGGTTAGGGGAGGGTTTGGCCAGGGGATTTCCTTGGCTCATCGCGCTCTAGCGACTCCTTGTGGCGGGCCGGGCGCCTGCAAGCCGACACATTAGTGCGGCTGGCTTCCGGGTTAAGCGAGCAGTGTGTTAAGAAGCTGCGTGGCTTGGCGAATCATGTTTCGGAGGACGCATGACTTGACCTTCGCCTCTCCTGAGCCCATTGGGGGAGTTGCAGCGATGAGACAAGATCGTAACTACCAGTTGGATATCACGAAATTGGGGAGAAAAAGGGGCTAAAATTCACAAAAAAATGTATAATTCTTGTGCAATTTATATCTGTAGCCTACATTGAGGTTTTACTTTCATTATTTTTTATCTCGCGTTAGTGTGTACCCTAAGCCTAAACTTTAGGGCCTAACTGTACGCTTGCCAAATAATTTTGGGAATTTGGGCTGAAAAAGTTAACGTTGATCCACTGAGGCAAAAAGGACAATGTCGGAGTGTAATTCAAAAAGAGAAAAGCTGCGAAATGAAGAGTTGAAATAAATAGAAGGGAGGGCCAGAATAGTAGTCTGTTTGGGAAACATTTGGTGAAGTGGTAAAAGAGGATGATAGCAGTGTTATGTTATGCTATGTTTTAAAGTTGGCAGCTCCTTTGTTTCACTGTTAGTCAAGTCAAATTTTAGGGTATTTAAAGTGCATCTTACAAGGTCTCATACTCTTTACAGAGGAAATAAAGAACAGCTTTTTTAGGTTGATAACTCAAGTGTGGTTTGTGTTGTGACTCATGTTTGGTTTTTGTTGTGGTTTCTGCAGGTATCTGGACTCCTGGTGCAGGATTACAGTCATGAGTACAGCCACTGGAACTCTGTCAAGTCCCTGGGACAGTGGCTACAGGAGGAGAAGGTAGTAGAGACAGCACTACAGTCCTTAAAGCCTTCTAACATGGTCAACTTAACATAAGTCTTAATGTTGTCTGTCAAGTCCCCAGCGTTAGTTCTCATTAGTAGTGGGTCCGCCCTCAAAAAGGAGATTGTCTGTTATTTTCTGCCTTTTTATTCATTGAGGCATAACATAACTTCTTTTTAATCTTCTTTTTGAGTGCAGACCCACTACTAATGCATCTGATGTTTTACTTTTGACTAATGCACCAGTTCCGATTACAGTGGTTTAAAGAACCTTTTGAAAACATTGCACTTCGACTCATTTTCTAACCGCACAAGTCTTACTGCAATGTTAATGTTGTCAACTGGCAATTAGTATTTTCTCATATTGTTTGAAAGGTCCCTGCATTGTTTGGAGTGGATACTAGGATGCTGACCAAGATCATCAGAGACAAGGTAAAAGTATTTTTACTGTGAGCCTTGTCCGAGCCAGAATGGCCTATAAGGCAGGAGCCTATCTCCTGTCTCTGTAGCTTGAGGCAGCTTGATGTACAAGTACATTCCCTGGACAGGAAGCTAGTCTTGTTACTGCTTTACTCTGATTGTATTTAAAGAAACATGACTATTTGTCCTCTTGAAGAAAATAAAAAGCATTTTCTTTTACAGAAAATATGTCTCTTTGTCTTGTGACCAGGGTACAGTGTTGGGGAAGATAGAGTTTGAGGGCCATCCAATGGAGATATCAGACCCTAACCAGCAGAACATTGTAGCAGAAGTCTCAACAAAGGTTTGTTCTGACTGCTATACGATAAAATGTCTTCTGTTGTTATGGATATGATTCTGCTGCAAAACATATTCCGCCCTATTGATGATGATGATGATGATATCCTCTCATTGTTCTTGTATGTTTCCAGGAGACCAGAGTGTTTGGGAAAGGTAACCTCATCAAAGTGGTGGCTGTTGACTGTGGCATCAAACACAACATAATCAGGCTGCTTGTTAAGGTGAGAATGCGAGACTGGAGGAGATAGTTCAGCAGTCCGTAGATGATACAACTTACAATACAGTAGGGCTGTCCCCGACAAAAAAAAATATTGGTCTGTTCTTTTGACCAATCGATTGGTTGACATTTTTAAACGTGTATTTTTCCATATATAGACACACCTTATGTGTTTTAAATAAAATTAACTATATGCATTGAGCTTGTCTGATGCTTACACCTTAGGGTTTGATGAAATAAGACAAATGCCTCAAGAGGGCATCATATATCTAGATTACCAGAAGAAAAAAACCTGACCCAACTATTCTCCTCCCACTCCTGCTGGCTTTCGCAGATTCTGCCAATACTTTCCTGAAGTTGCCGGTAATAGGCTACACAAGCAGTCTGCAACCTTTCTCATGTGGAATGCCAGTTTATCTTACAATTTCTACCGATCTGCCTGCCAGTTATGGTTTTCATATGCAAATGTTCATAAAACAGTTTAATTTCATTTATAATAACATCTTCATATCTCAAAATCATTGTCATGTGGTTAATCAAAACTCTGTCAAGTCCCTGGGACAGTGGCTACAGGAGGAGAAGGTAGTAGAGACAGCACTACAGTCCTTAACGCCTTCTAACATAGTCAACTTAACATAAGTCTTAATGTTGTCTGTCAAGTCCCCAGCGTTACAGTTCTCATTAGTAGTGGGTCCGCCCTCAAAAATGAGATTTTCTGTTATTTTCTGCCTTTTTATTCATTGAGGCATAACATAACTTCTTTCTAATCTTCTTTTTGAGTGCAGACCCACTACTAATGAATCTGATGTTTTACTTTTGGCTATTGCACCAGTTCCGATTACAGTGGTTTAAAGAACCTTTTGAAAACATTGCACTTCGTCTCATTTTCTAACAGCACAAATCTAAATGAAAATGATACAAACCTAAAAAGTAACTTCTATTGCCATTAACAACTATGTAAAAATAGCCTACATAATAAAAACATTGCAGCCTGCAGGTAGAAAATATCCTGATAAAAATACATATCCTATAAATCACATTGGCTACACATGGCCTGTCTGCAACAAACTTGAAACATTGTATCAACTATCCTTGGCCCTCAGAGTTTCCCGTGCCAGTGAGCTCGGGACAGACACAGCTGTAGGCTATTTGCGCAAGGCATATGAAGCAGTGCTTGACTTGGGCAGGAGCTCAACAGGGCTGACTTCCGACACCTCAAATGTTCTACTGCTTGAGCTCCTGTTCCTCATATAGAATATTAGCTCAAAAGTATTGTGGAGCTCCTGCACCTAAATATGAACAGTACCAGCACCCAAAATGAGTACCGGAACCTATTTCAGTCCAAGTAAAGCACTGATAAGAAGTAATCAGGTAGGCTTATTTTATGACGTTTCCATTGGATCAGAGCATGACATTTTTCCCTTTCACGCTGAGTGGTTATCGAAAGGGAGAGAGCTGGAAAGATTTTAAAAATACATTGAGGAACTATTGTAATTCTCAATGGATGTAAAAACAGACTTAGTTTGCTTGCTGTTTGAGGTGAAGAAAACATTACTTTGAGCAGCGCCACAGGTCATTAGTGGTGGTGCGTTAAGCCAATCAGAAATACTATCAGATCCCTAAATGGGCACATTTATATGCCTACATTTGCGCGCAGGTCAGGTAGCCTATAGGTCTACTTCTATGTGTGCGCATCCTTACTCAACATGGACAGGAGCGCTCCAAACAAAAGACAATTACTAAATTGACAAAACTCGTAAATGGAATGAAATAAACCAAAACTTGTTTAGCGTAGTGTAGCATAGGTTGTGCACTCTGCAAATAATTTGTCCACTCCGATAATGAGAACGGGAAGACTGGAATAATAATATTGAATTCATTAAAATAAATTACCATAACCAAAGTAACAAACATTGTAGATTAGAAATTATAGGAATTAATGGTAAATGTACTACTGGTGATATACAGTACCAGTCAAAAGTTTGGACACACCTATTCATTCCAGGGTTTTTCTTAATTTTTTACTAATTTCTACATTGTAGAATAATAGTGAAGAAATCTAAACTATGAAATAACACATGTGGAATCATGTAGTAACCGAAAAAGTGTTAAACAAATCAAAATATATTTTGTATTTGAGATTCTTCAAATAGCCACCCTTTGCCTTGATGACAGCTTTGCACACTCTTGGCATTCTCTCAACCAGCTTCATGAGGAATGCTTTTCCAACAGTCTTGAAGGAGTTCCCACATATGCTGAGCAGTTGTTGGCTGCTTTTGCTTCACTCTGCGGTCCAACTCATCCCAAACCATCTCAATTGGGTTGAGGTCGGGTGATTGTGGAGGCCAGATCATCTGATGCAGCACTCCATCACTCTCCTTCTTGGTTAAATAGCCCTTACACAGCCTGGAGGTGTGTTGGGTCATTGTCCTGTTGAAAAACAAATGATAGTCCCCACTAATCGCTAACCAGATGGGATGGCGTATCGCTGCAGAATGCTGTGGTAGCCATGTTGGTTAAGTGTGCCTTGAATTCTAAATAAATCACAGACAGTGTCACCAGCAAATCACCATCACACCTCCTCCTCCATGCTTCACTGTGGGAACCACACATGTGGAGATCATCCGTTCACCTACTCTGCATCTCACAAAGACACGGCGGTTGGAACCAAAAATCTCAGATTTGGACTCATCAGACCAAAGGACAGATTTTCACTGGTCTAATGTCCATTGCTCGTGTTTCTTGGCCCAAGCAAGTCTCTTCTTATTATTGGTGTCCTTTAGTAGTGGTTTCTTTGCAGCAATTTGACCATGAAGGCCTGATTCACGCGGTCTCCTTTGAACAGCTGATATTGAGATGTGTCTGTTACTTGAACTCTGAAGCAAAGTTAACTCTGTCTCTTCCTTTCCTGTGGCGGTCCTCATGAGAGCTAGTTTCATCATAGCGCTTGATGGTTTTTGTAACTGCACTTGAGGAAACTTTAAAAGTTCTTGAAATGTTCCGTATTGACTGACCTTCATGTCTTAAAGTAATGATGGACTGTAGTTTCTCTTTGCTTATTTGAGCTGTTCTTGCCATAATATGGACTTTGTCTTTGACCCAATAGGGCTAAATTCCACAAATTAACTTTTAACAAGGATCACCTGTTAAATGAAATGCATTCCAGGTGACTACCTCATGAAGCTGGTTGAGAGAATGCCAAGAGTGTGCAAAGCTGTCATCAAGGCAAAGGGGGGCTACTTTGAAGAATCTCAAATATATTTTGATTTGTTTAACACTTTTCTGGTTTCTACATAATTCCAAATGTGTTCTTTCATAGTTTTGATGTCTTGACTATTATTCTACAATGTAGAAAATATTAAAAATAAAGAAAAACCCTGGAATGAGTAGGTGTGTCCAAACTTTTGACTGGTACTGCATGTAATGGGGAATTGATATACACTAACTGTCACGTTTCCTCCCGTTGCTCCCCTTTGGCGCTCTGATTCGCCGGTCTACTAAGCCACCGGTCTGAGCGCACCTCCTCGGCAACACCGGAATGGAAACCCAACGCACCCTAATCACCTCCAGTGCACCTGCACCTCATCATCTCATCACCACCCCTGTATAGCCCTGGACTGTTCAGTGTTATGTTGTGTGTGATTGTTAGTGTCATGTTGTGTACTCGCTCTTTGTTGTTCTCTTGCTCAGTGTTAAGTAAACCTTTACATTGTTGATTCCTGCGTCTGCGTCCTGCCTCTTCGTATCCTCAGTACTCGTCACAGAATCACACACCTCACGAAGATGTATGCAGCAGGTAATCCTCCTGGAGTTTCCCAGCACCTCGACCAGCACCAGCAGCAGATTGCCCAGCTGAACGCCTCCATGCAGGAAGTGCTTCAAACGCTGCATAAACTGACCATCGCTCCGGTTCCACCTCAGGGAGCGGCGAGTGCACCTAGTCCACCTCCTCCTGTGCTATCACCAACGTCTGAGGGACCCCTCGCCCTGCCAGAGCGCTGTGACGGGAAAACGACGAAATGTAGATGCTTCCTGCTACAGGTTTCACTGTATCTGGACCACCAGACCAAGCCAGGATAGCGCTGGTGATTTCGATACTGAAGGGAAAGGCGCTAGACTGGACCACGGCAGTCTGGGAAGGAGGTGAGGCCGCAGCGCTTCCCTACTCCACCTTCCTCGATCGATTCAGGGCGGTGTTCGATCATCCCACGGAGGGAAAGGACGGGGGTGAGCGTCTCCTCCGGCTACACCAGGGAGAGGAGGCAGCGTTCGAGTACTTCCTGAGCTTTCGCACGGTGGCGGCGTCTTCTGGCTGGAATGAGCGTGCTCTGCACACAGCCTTCAGGAGAGGCTTACGGGAGGACATCACGACGGAACTCGCATGTCGGGACAACGAGATGGACCTTTATACCCTCATCGCCACGTCCATTCGTCTCGACGACATGTTGAGAGACCGACGGCGTTCCCAACACCACCCGGAGCCTCGACGCTCACCCCATCTGAACTATGGAAGCCGCCCTGCTTCCGAGTCCTCACCCATGGAGGTGGGTAGCACCCCCTACACCACCATGGACCACAGATCTCCTGGTGGCTCGCTATCTAGGCAGTATGACTCCCTTCGCCGTTCTGTCAGTGTTCCGTCATCACCTTTTAGTTCCCCTAACGGTGAATGGTTCTTCCTTCTCTTCGCTTTCCACGGCAATGATAGATTCTGGATCAGCGGGGAACCTTATCGATAGGTAGCTGGTCTCTGAATGGGGGTTGCCCACCGTGCCACTGCCTTCTCCGTTACACGTCACCTCGCTGGTCAATAAACCACTAGGATCAGGCACCATTATGCACGTCACTCTCCCCATCACCATCACCATTCCCACACTACCGGAGCACCACGAGGAGCTGTCCTTCCACATCGTCACGTCACCCCTTCACCGGAACTTCTTGGGACTGCCCTGGCTCAGACTACACAACCCCACCATCAATTGGAGCACCAAGAGGATCACAGCCTGGTCCCCCTCATGCCGGAGGACCTGCCTGCCGGTGGTTTGTTGTTCCACGTCAGTGGAGAGTCCGGAATCCGCCCTCCAGCCCAACATTCCATGTGAGTACGCAGATCTCTCCGATGTCTTCTCTGCCTCCAAGGCTAAGTGTCTCCCTCCTCACAGGCCCTGGGACTGCGCCATTGACCTGCTGGAGGGACAACACCCCCCGAAGATTCGCATTTACTCCCTTTCCATAGCGGAGACTGAGACCATGGAGAAGTATGTGGCAGAGACCCTGAAACTCTCTTACTCCGCCAGCTTCTTCTTCGTGGACAAAAAAGACGGAGGACTGAGGCCTTGCATTGACTACCGGGGGCTGAACGCAGTCACCACCAAGTACCGGTACCCCTCACTCTGGTTCCGTCGGCCATCGAGCAGCTATGAGGGGCCCGGTACTTTACCAAGTTGGACCTGAGGAGTGCCTACAACCTGATCTGAATCTGGGAAGGAGACGAGTGGAAGACTCCATTCAGCACTATCTCAGGCCACTATGAATACTGCGTCATGCCCTACGGCCTCGCCAACGCACCTTCCGTGTTCCAGTCCTTCGTCAATGATGTGTTCCGAGTCATGCTGAGTAGACAGGTGGTGGTGTACATCGACGATATCCTGATCTACTCGGCTACGTTCGAGGAGCACGTCAGGGACGTCCGAGCGGTTCTACTCCGCCTCCGGGAACACAGCCTGTTGGTGAAAGGGGAGAAATGTGAATTCCACCAACAGGCCATCTCCTTCCTGGGATACAGGATCAGTCCTCAGGGGGTGTTCATGGAAAGAGCGAAGACGGACTCCGTCAGGTCATGGCCAGTCCCCACCACCATCAAGGGCCTACAGAGCTTCCTAGGCTTCGCAAATTTCTACCGGTGTTTCATCAGGTCCTTCAGCTCCATAGCCGCCCCGCTCACCTCTCTCCTTAAGGGTGGGCCTCAGAAGCTGGCCTTGAACCCAGAGACTGACGCTGCCTTCAAGAGGCTGAAGGAGAGGTTCACCACAGCGCCCCTCCTAAAACACCCAGATCCAGCTTGTCCTTTCATCCTGGAGGTGGACGCATCTGAGGAGGGTGTGGGTGGGGTCCTCTCGCAGCGGCAAGGTAAGCCAGAGAAAATGCATCCCCGTTTCTCTAAAAAGCTTACCCCCGCAGAGAGGAACTATGGAGTTGGAGACAGGGAGCTGTTGGCGGTGGTCCTCGCTCTGGAGGAATGGAGACACTGGCTGGAGGGCACAGTCCATCCATTCCGGATTCTCACTGGAGCACATACGGGCAGCGAAACGGATGAACTCACGTCAAGCCAGGTGGGCCCAATTTCTTACTCGTTTTCAGTTTATTCTGTCCTACCGCCCAGGATCCCAGAATGTGAAGGCCGACGCACTCTCCAGGATGCACCATACCGGAGAAAGGAAGGATCTGGGGGGTCCGTCTCTCATTGTGGCACCTGTCGTTTGGGATGTGGACGAAGACATCCGCCTGTCGGCTCAGGAGGACCCAGCGCCTGTCAACGCCCCTCCGGGGCGTGTGTATGTACCCACCAGGGTCCGTGACCGCCTGCTGATCTGGGCGCACACCACCCTTACGGCAGGGCACTCCGGTATGACGCGCACCCTACATTCTCTCTCATAAGAATACTGGTGGCCCACCTTGGCTACTGATGTCTCCCGCTATATCAACTCCTGTTCCGTATGTGCCCAAACGAAGACACCTCGGAACGTCCCGGCAGGCAAACTAGTTCCTCTCCCAGTGCCTCAGCGAACTTGGTCACACCTATCCAAAGACTTTGTCACCGACCTCCAACGTTCTGACGGCTTCACCACAGTCCTGGTGGTCGTAGATCGGTTCTCCAAATCATGCCGAATCATGAACCAGGAACTGGGGAGGTTTTTTCGTTGCCACTGTCAGGACCGGCAGGGTGAGAGGGCGTGGTTTCTTCCCTGGCAGAATATGCCCAGAACTCCCTCGTTCACTCCTCCATGGGGCTCACTCCCCTCCAGTGCATCCTGGGGTACCAGCCGGCCCTGGCCCCTTGGACACCCAGCCAGACCGATGCGCCCGCTGTCGACCAGTGGTTCCGCATAGCCGGACAGGTCTGGGATGCCACCCATGTCCATCTCCAGAGGGCCATTCGTCGGCAGAAGGACCAAGCCGACCGCCACCGCAGTGAGGTGCCCGTATTCCAGCCTGGTGATCGTGTCTGGCTGTCCACAAAAAAGCTCCCTCTCCGCCTGCCCTGCAAGAAACTGAGCCCCCGGTTTGTGGGGCCGTTTAAGGTCCTCTGGCGGATAAATGAGGTATCGTACCGGCTGCTCCTTCCCCCTCACTACCGTGTCTCACCCACTTTTCACGTGTCTCTCCTCAGGCCGGTGGTTCCTGGTCCTCTGGCGGATGCCGTCCCCCGGGGTACGCCCCCCCCCCTCCCCCACCTCTGGACATTGACGGGAGTCCGGCGTATGCGGTGAGGGACCTGCTGGACTCCAGGTTCTGTGGGGGATGGCTCCATTACCTGGTGGACTGGGAGGGGTATGGTCCTGAGGAGAGGAGCTGGGTTCCGGCTGGGGACGTTCTGGACCCCAAACTAATTCGGGACTTCTACCGGCAGGAGACGCGCGTCTGATTCGCTGGTCTACTGAGCCACCGGTCTGAGCGCACCACCTCGGCAACACCGGAATGGAAACCCAACGCACCCTAATCACATCCAGCGCACTTGCACCTCATCACCTCATCATCTCATCACCACCCCTATATAGCCCTGGACTGTTCAGTGTTGTGTTGTGTGTGTGTGTGATTGTTAGTGTCATGTCGTGTACTCGCTCTTTGTTGTTCTCTTGCTCAGTGTTAAGGAAACCTTTACATTGTTGATGTCTGCATCCTACCTCTTCGTATCCTCAGTACTCGTCACACTAACAATCAAACGCAAACAATTCACACAATGACGTTATGAAACAATGAATGTGCATAAATTGGGGGGAGAGAGCGCATTCTGGAGAGAGAAGTGCATTGTGCGTCTGGGTGCATGGTCAATCCAACATCTGCATTGGCCATACAGCATTTACAGTGCGATGGCCTCCGCAGAAGTCTGGGTATTCATACTTCTTGTGCTTTGCAGAGCAGTGCAGAGCTATTGTCAAGGAAGTGAGTTTGTGTTTGTAAAGGATGTAATGCCCCCACCTACCGTCAACCAATCATGTCAATGCGGAGCTATATAGAGCCCTCCGCATTAAAATGTTTGGGAGGCGCATGGCGATGCGGTACGGAGCTCGATTTGGCCTTTGCATGCCTCTGGAGGCACTGCAATTGCGTCACACCCTCCATATGGAGCCTCCGACCACATTTTCCGATAAAGCAGAAATGGGCTTTTAGTCTAGGCCTCCGCAATGGATTAGTTCACTGAGATGGGCGCAAATATATATATACTTGTTACTGCTCGACTAAAACAATCTCAGTCGACCAACAGCCTAACGACCAAACAGTCGACTAATTGGGGTCAGCCCTAGACTACAGTATGACCCTGTGGGTTTGAGTGTGAAATAAAGACTGAAATATGTTATTTTAAGAGTACCCTAGATACTGACCCTGGGCTAGTCACTAATAGCAGCATGAATAGAATTGATTATAAAAAGTGTCTTCTGTCTGTCTGTCTGTGTGCTGTAGCGTGGGGCAGAGGTCCATCTGGTGCCCTGGAACCAGGACCTGATGAGTCTGGAGTATGATGGCCTGTTCATCTCCAACGGCCCTGGGGATCCCTCTCTGGCAGGAGACCTCATACAGAATGTCCGCAAGGTAACATTACCAGCTGCCCATTGCACTACAGAGGGAAGAGAATTAGCTGAAGAGAACAGTTTAAAGGACTTATAAAACCATTTAAGTGTTAAGTGTTACCATGATAAAAGATGTTAGCATTGCCAGATGGAATTTCATCCAAAATGTCCGCAAGGTACCACTACCAGCTGCCCATTGCACTATAGAGCAACGTCTGTGTTGTGATTGCTCAAAATACAGTTAAGTCATACTTTATTAGTGAGTGCTGGCCGCCTTTTGATTACTTGTAAACTACTTGTTGTAAACTGGTTGTAAAGTGGTTTAATTTGACTACATTATTCTTATTATTGCTCTCCCTCTGGTCTATTCCCCATCATTTTACCACCTCCCTGGCTGTATTGTTCATCCCTAGGTCCTGGAAAGTGACCGGCCACAGCCTATCTTTGGTATCTGTATGGGCAACCAGATCACAGCACTGGCTGCAGGGGCCCAGTCTTACAAACTGCCCATGGGTAACAGGTAAACTACACATGCATTGCAGGTAGGGCTGTTGCGGTGACCATGTTACCGGCAGTCATGAGACATGACCGCAGTAAAATTTCATGTGACCGTTGAGTCACGGTGTTCTCCTCTTATGCACTCTGGACATGCGTTGGTCGTACCCAACTATCATCATGTCGCTAATGGCCTGGTACTCAGGGCTCTATTGTCCCTATAACCCAGGGATGGGCAACTGGCGGCTTGCGGCCCCCCTTTTGAAGGCTCTCTGATCAATTCCATGACCACCACAGCCCTAATTGCAGGACACATATTAGCGTCCTTCTTGCCAGCTGATTCTTTCATCATTAGTGTCTTGCTCTGTTGAAGTTAACCCTCTACCTTAGGGGAATTGAAGAGATATTAGAACTCTAAAGGCTGGTTTCCTGGACCTAGTTTAAGACTAATTCTGGACTGAAAAGCACTTTCAATGGAGATACTCTATTTAGCATTCTTTTAGTGTAGGAGTAGATTTTATCTGGGTCTGGGAAACTGGCCCTCTAAGTCTGTGGATGCTAAGTAATTTTGTAATTATGTTTATTGTTCTCCAGAGGTCAGAACCAGCCTGTACTCAATGTGATGACGGGCCAGGCCTTCATCACAGCCCAGAACCATGGTTACGGCATTGACAGCACCTCTCTACCACCTGGATGGAGCCCGCTGTTTGTTAACGCCAACGACGGAACCAACGAAGTCTGCTTTCTGTTCTTAATTTCTTATTTAGGGGGCACATCGCTCTTCAGGGAGCATAGGCCACCGACGACACGAAACACACTCTTGGGTTTTGTGATAGATACAGCATGATTGTTTTGAATGATTAGGTTCAGTTGTATTTATTTGACTTAGCTCCGTACTACCTAGAAAACAAACATTGTTACCGAATGGATGGACTATACTGGTTAAATAAAGATGAAGTGAACCCTCTACCTAAGTTTATAGCTATGTTTTTTTACAAAGTTCTGAACGACTAAGTTTGTTGTATCTTCTTGTGTCCTAGGGCATCATGCACGACACCAAGCCGTTCTTCACGGCTCAGTTCCACCCAGAGGCTAAAGGAGGACCTACAGACACTGAGGTAAAGCTGCTCTACAAACGGCTACAATTAAACCAATGATCACTGCAAAACACCACTGCATCCATTATAAGCCCCTGTTGTGGACAGGCTTTTTGCTGCAGAGGATGGACAGTCCACAGTGGAAGTCAGACAATACTATCCTTTCTGTGATTCATAGTTAAAATTCACTGTCTGTTTTTTTGCAGTTCCTATTTGATGCATTCATATCCCTGATAAAGAAGGGGAAGGAGGCCAACATTGTGTCAGTCATGCCCAAGAAGCCTGCTATCCCACCTAGGACTCAGGTAAGATACTAACTAATGAAATGTACAACACAGTAAAAAATCATTATACTTCATCAAGATAGAGGGCCAAAAATCTGTGTGCATTTTTCATGTGCGATTCTACTTCGTGGCTCAGTTGGTAAGAGCATGGCGCTAGAAATGCCAGGGTCATTGGTGAGGGACGGCTCATAATAATGGCTGGAACGGAGCGAATGGAATGGCATCAAACACATGGAAACCATATGTTTGATGTATTTGATACCATTCCACTGATTCTGCTCCAGCCATTAACACGAGCCCATCCTCCCCAATGAAGGTGCCACCAACCTCCTGTGATGTACACTATATGAACATAAACATACTAATATGTATGTACTCATACTCAGTGCTTGACTTGTATTGAAATAGGTGTCGGTACTCATTTTAGGTGCTGTTACTGTTTATATTTAGGTGCAGGAACTCCACAATAGTTTTGAGCTAATATTTATAAGAGGTGTAGGAACTCGAGCAGTAGAACATTTGAGGTGTTGGTACTCCGCTCCGGTGAGCTCCTGCCCAAGTCAAGCACTGCTAATTCTGTATTATTAATGTGTCCTTGTGTTTTTCTTGATGCAGGTTTCCAAGGTGCTGGTGCTGGGGTCTGGAGGTCTGTCCATTGGTCAGGCTGGGGAGTTTGACTATTCTGGATCACAGGCTGTCAAAGCCATGAAGGTGAGAGGGCCTAGGAGAGCCAGTCAGGAGAGGCTGAACCAGATCAGATCAAGCTTGTCCAAAAGTTAATAAAACATTTAATAGTTACTTACAACAAACAAAGAAGCAGAGCCTCACATGTACAGTGCATTCGGAAAGTATTCAGACCCCTTGAATCTTTCCACATTTTGTTACGTTACTGCCTTTTTCTAAAATTAATTACATCGTTTTTTCCCCTCATCAATCTACGCACAATACCCCATAATGAAAAAGCAAAAACAGGGTTTTAGACATTTTTGCAAATGTATTAAAAATAAAAAACGGAAATATCACATTTACATAATTATTCAGACCCTTTACTCAGTACTTTGTTGAAGCACCTTTGGCAGCGATTACAGCCTCGAGTCTTCTTGGGTATGACGCTACAAGGTTGGCACATCTGTATTAGGGGAGTTTCTCCCATTCTTCTCTGCAGATCCTCTCAAGCTCTGTCTGGTTGGATGAGGAGCATCACAGCACAGCTATTTTCAGGTCTCTCCAGAGATGTTCGATCGGGTTCAAGTCTGGGCTCTGGCTGGGCCACTCAAGGACATTCAGAGACTTGTCCCGAAGTCACTCCTGCATTGTCTTGGCTCTGTGCTTAGGGTCGTTGTCCTGTTGGAAGGTAAACCTTCACCCCGGTCCTGAGCGCTCTGGAGCAAGTTTTCATCAAGGATCTCTCTGTACTTTACTCCATTCATCTTTCCCTCGATCCTGACTAGTCTCCCAGTCCCTGGGCTGTCATGTGCCTTTTACTGAGGAGTGGCTTCCATCTGGCCACTCTATCATAAAGGCCTGATTGGTGGAGTGCTGCAGAGATGGTTGTCCTTCTGGAAGGTTCTCCCATCTTCACAGAGGAACACTGGAGTTCTGTCAGAGTGATCATCGGGTTCTTGGTCACCTCTCTGACCAAGGCCCTTCTCCCCCGATTGCTCAGTTTGGCCGGGTGGCCAGCTCTAGGAAGTGTCATGATGGTTCCAAACTTCTTCCATTTAAGAAAGATGGAGGCCACTTTGCTCTTGGAGACCTTCAATGCTGCAGACATTTTTTGGTATCCTTCCCTAGATCTGTGCCTCGACACAATCCTGTCTCGGAGCTCTACGAACGATTCCTTTGACCGCATGGTTTGGTTTATGCTCTGACATGCACTGTCAACTGTGGGACCTTATATAGACAGGTGTGTGCCTTTCCAAATCATGTCCAATCAATTGAAATTACCACAGGTGGACTCCAATTAAGTTGTAGAAACATCTCATGGATGATCAACGAAAACAGGATGCACCTGAGCTCAATTTCGATGTAAATAAGGTATTTCTGTTTTTTATTTGTAAAACATTTGCGAAATTTTCTAAAAACCTGTTTACGCTTTTTCATTATGGGGTATTGTGTGTAGATTGATGAGGATAAACATTTATTTAATCCATTTTAGAATAAGGCTGTAATGTAACAAAATGTGGGAAAAGTCAAGGGGTCTGAATACTGTCCAAATGCACTGTATTTGCCTTGTTTTTTAGCCTGGTTTGTTTGTGCTGTACAGCCAACTCCTATGGTCATTGTCATGATAGCAGAGAATACAATCTGAGACCAGGCTATGTGTGAATGACAATCTCCACAAATGTCTTCAGTCAAAACGAACATCAACATTTCTGTGTCCCTTGTGTGTGTGTGTGTATGTTCTTTGCGTGTGTGTGTGTCTTCCCTCCTTGCGAGTGTGTGTTCCAGGAGGAGAACGTGAGGACGGTGCTGATGAATCCGAACATAGCATCGGTGCAGACCAACGAGGTGGGGACTAAACAAGCTGACTCTGTCTACTTCCTGCCTGTCACGCCTCAGTTCGTCACAGAGGTCATCAAGACCGAACGACCTGACGGCATCCTGCTGTCTATGGGAGGACAGACCGCTCTCAACTGTGGTGAGTTAGGGGTGTGTGTGTGTGTGTGTGTGTGTGTGTGTGTGTGTGTGTGTGTGTGTGTGTGTGTGTGTGTGTGTGTGTGTGTGTGAGTATGTGAGCGGAGCTGGTTTGGAGCGTGCCCAATTTGACTGGAGCGCAGAGCGAGTTTCCCAAAGGCTGGAGTGTTGGCCTTCTCGCCCGCTCCAATTTCGCTCCAGTTCCGCTCCAGTAGCAGTCATTTCACTTCACGAGCTCAGGCCATGCCCGGCCCAGCTTACATTTGTAGACTACTGTGTGCTAATATAGCTTCTTGCTTTATCTTCTGTGATGGAGTTCGCTAAATATTTTCATAAAGATCCTGATAAAACACACAGGTGCAAAATCAAGGTGACTTACAAAGAGGAGGACCAAGAGCAAGAGAGGGAGTGCGGTGATGTGGTGTCCACAACTAAATAATCACTGTGGAATCTGAAAAGACACGTATCCCGAAAGCATGATGGTGTACTACGTGCACATGCTAACAGAAAGGAACGACGTGTGTCATTGTAGAAAATTATTTATAAACAAACAATCGGATCTCTTAAGTTTCATTCATTTTCGTTCTATTATCTATACGATAGGCTATCATTGATTTCGGCCCAGTAGGCCTGACATATTACCTCTTTCAAGGAGCTTTCTGTTTTGATAGGGTTATTTTGCCTAAAACCCTTTAGGCCTACCTATAGAAAAATGTAAAAACAACTCTGCATCCCTGCCCAGCCTGGCAAGAGTGGCCCAAAGGGTGTTTAGCATCCCCAGTGGCTCTGCATGCACGGAGAGGGTATTTTCCGCTGCTGGCCTGCTCTCCAGGCACCATCGCATGAGCCTGAAGCCAGACTCTGACCATCGTTTTCTACACGTGAATTCAAAGGCACTAAGCCTAACAAGGTATTTTTCCTTTCATTTTTATTTAATTCTAATAAGTAAGTCACAGCCTGTATGCACAATTTATAGACTATAATTATTGAATACAACAAAATGTTGTTTAAATGCTGAGCGTTTAATGTTCCTGCCAGCCTAGTGTGTCGCGCTCGCAAATGCTTCACAATTTCTTTATTTGTAGGCTATAGCTTTGAAATAATAGGCTAATAATGTAGCCTAAATAATTCATATTAGTTCCTTCTCCTGACCTATTTAGTGTTTTATGTGCTGTTTTAATACAACATGTAGCCTATTTGAAATGATGAGCGCTTCTTTTCATGTTTATTAAAATACTTTTCATTCAAATCATATGGTTTGGTTTCAATACTTAAAAACCAAATGGTAGGTCCAGGTAGTCACAAAAATAGATGGGTGTTGGTTAAATTGTGATTTTAATGAATGGAGCGAATTTGGAGTGGCAGTTGTTTTTCCTGTGACCGAGGAGCGGTTTTTAGTAGAGCGGTTGGAAAGGACATGGCGCGCCAGCGCACCGCTCCGTGAGCGATGAGCAGGATTTCCGACCGCTCAACTCTGCTCACATACTCTGGTGGGGGGTGGTGTGTGTGGCGGTATACTGCTACCCGTTGGAGGACAGATCGCTCCCAACTGTGGTGAGTGCAGAGGTGGAGGTGTATGTTTGTGAATATATGTGAATATATGTGCCTTCTACCTGACTGTTACACATACACTCGTGAACACACAAAGTCACATGCATTCTCCCATATGTTTGCTCACGTGTGTGCATGTTTCCCTGTGTGTTTGTGTTTCCCTGTATGTGTGTGTGTCTGTGTCTGTGTGTGTGTGTGTGTGTGTGTGTGTGTGTGTGTGTGTCTGTATGTGTAGGAGTGGAGTTGTTCCAGAGTGGGGTACTGCAGAAGTATGGGGTGAAGGTTTTGGGGACCCCTGTAGAGTCCATTATGGCTACTGAGGACAGACAGCTGTTCGCTGACAAGCTCAACGAGATCAACGAGAAGATCGCTCCCAGCTTCGCTGTCGAGACGGTGAGGCTTCTGGACAAACAAAAGCAACATCAACAACAATGTTCTGATTTAGTTTTTCGCTCTCAACCTCACATCAGGGGTAGATCTCAAAAGTCTTCCCTCTTTCCTTGCATCCTCTCTCCTTTTTGTGAAAAGGAGGTGATGAGAGGACGGAGGAAAGGACATGAGGAAAGGACATGAGGAAAGACATTTGAGATTCAACCCAGGTGTAGGCATTTATAGGTGTAAGGTGCAGACCCGGGCTCAAATACTATTTGAAATATTTTGATTTTAACCTTCCCAGAGTGCCAAATGGGTAGCGTTTGCAGTTCCAGGACTTGTCTAGTGGTCCGGTAAGCCTGTCTAGCTCAATCAAGCACAGCTAAAGTATTTGAAATTATTTCAAATAGTATTTGAACCCAGGTCTGGTAAGTTGCAGAGTTGAATAGTGTAGCGTAATGTAATGACGTTGTTTCTCCTATAGGTGGCAGATGCCCTGACGGCAGCGGATCAGATAGGCTACCCTGTCATGCTGCGTTCTGCCTATGCCCTGGGTGGACTGGGCTCAGGACTGTGTGCCAACAAGGACAAGCTGGAGGAGACTGCTCGGAAGGTAGGTACAAGACTTGATGAGGGTACAAGACCCATTCAATCAGGCTAGGATGGGCCATATGAACAGTCTACTCAATCTACTCAGTCGGTCAAAGATCAATTCAGTGTTAGCCTAATCATGAATGCTGGGTTGTGTTCAGGCGGTCACAATGTAGCAAATTGTTACAAAAAGTTTTGAAATAGAAAACGAAAACAAGCTTTTATTAAGAAAATGAAATGAATGTAGTAAAATCTTATTTGACAAGTTTGGATAGTACCTCCCTGTTTCGCTCCATTTCAGACAGTTTTCTCTCTTTTTGTGCTTACTGAACACAGCCCTGGTCCTAACTGGTGTGTGTGCCTGTCTGTGTGTGTGTGTGTGTGTGTGTGTGTGTGTGTGTGTATGTCTGTAGGCCCTGGCAATGAGCTGTCAGATCCTGGTGGAGAAGTCTCTAATGGGTTGGAAGGAGGTGGAGTATGAAGTAGTCAGGGACATCGCTAATAACTGTGTCACTGTCTGCAACATGGAGAACTTTGACCCCCTCGGCATTCACACAGGTATTACACATACACAGACACACACACAGACACAGAGAGAGAGAGAGACAGACAGACGACGAGACAGCCGACGAGACAGACAACATGATAGCTAATAGGGAGGAGGTCAGTGACCTGGCAGTGTGGTGCCAGGACAAAAAACTCTCCCTCAACGTCAGCAAGACAAAGGAGTTGATCATGGTCTGCAGGAAACAGAGGGCCGAGCACGCCCCCATCCTCATCGACAGGGCTGTAGTGGAGCGGGTTGAAAGCTTCAAGTTCCTCAGTGTCCACATCACTAAGGACTTAACATGATCCACACACACCAACACAGTCGTGAAGAAGGCACAACAACGCCTCTTCCTCCTCAGGAGGCTGAAAAGATTTGGCATGGGCCCTCAGATCCTGAAAGAGTTATACAACTGCAACATTGAGAGCATCTTGACTGGCTACATCACCGCTTGGTATGGCAACTGCTTGGCATCACTGGGGCCACGTTCCCTGCCATCCAGGACATCTATACCAGGTGGTGTCAGAGGAAGACCCTAGAAATTGTCAGACTCCAGCCACCCAAGTCATAGACTGTTCTCTCTGCTACCACACGGCAAGTGGTACACATTCTTTCCACTCTATCCTCTCATTGGTCTGTTTGTCCACTCTCTCTCCCCCCAGGTGACTCTATTGTGGTGGCCCCCAGCCAGACTCTGTCCAATGAGGAGTACCACATGCTGCGTGAGACAGCCATCAAGGTAGTGCGTCACCTGGGCATCGTGGGGGAGTGTAACATCCAGTACGCCCTTCACCCTGGCTCTCTAGAGTACTGCATCATAGAGGTCAACGCTCGCCTCTCACGCAGCTCTGCGCTTGCATCCAAGGCCACCGGGTAAGACGCTTGTTCTGCCTCACAAATGGCCAGCCTGATCACTAGAAATAGAGCTCAATTTCGGACACTTGAAAAGGTCCTGAGAACATCGACATATGCCTTCCTCGGCACTAACAAAATAAAATAAAAATTATTGCCCAGCACTGGGCGCGAACTCGTGATGCCTGGAGCCAAAGTGCGCTGGTTAGACCACTGCGCTACGGCAGTTGAAAATGCTTTAGCAAGCCGTGAGAATACTTGATGTTATGAGGTTGGTTGGTTTGCAGAGCCTTCCCCAAACCATAGCCATAACCTTAACCACTCGGAATGAATGCCTAAACTGTTAATCTTTGAGTTGGTTTCTGTTTTAACCCTGTAACCACGCAGAATTAATGCGTCAAAAATGGAAGGAAAATATACACTACCGGTCAAACGTTTTAGAACACCTACTCATTCAAGGGGTTTTCTTTAATTTTGCTATTTTCTACATTGTAGAATAATAGTGAAGACATCAAAACTATGAAATAACACATATGGAATCATGTAGTAACCAAAAAAGTGTTCAACCAATCAAAATATATTTTATATTTGAGATTCTTCAAATAGCCAACCTTTGCCTTGATGACAGCTTTGCACACTCTTGGCATTCTCTCAACCAGCTGTAATTGTAATTAGTTTACTCCAATTAGGGGATGGGTGGTAGGGTTAGGGGAAAACAATAAAGAAGGAAAACATATAAAATATATATATATTTAAAATAATATATATATATATATATATATATATATTTAAAAATATATATATTTAAAATAATATATATATATTTACAAAACAAAAAAAATATATATATATGTAATGGGGGATTGGAAATGATGCAGACAATTACATTGATAGAAGCCACAATCTAGCTGCAATATTAAAGCTGATCTACCCCTTAAAAAATAAAAATAAAAATTGATGTTCATCCATCAAATACATTGAATATCGAAGGGGAACTGAGATCTAGTTGCAAATGACACCTTATTCCTTACATAGTGCACTACTTTTGACCAGAGCCCATAGGGTCTGTCTAAAGTACAGTATCACAGTACATTGCAGTACAACAGTATCTCAACTCTCCCCTAACTCACTCTCCATGCTCCCTCAAGTTACCCCCTGGCATTTGTGGCAGCCAAGCTGGCTTTGGGCATCCCTCTGCCAGAGATCAAGAACACGGTGTCAGAGAAAACTACAGCCTGTTTTGAACCAAGCCTGGATTACATTGTCACTAAGATCCCTCGCTGGGACCTCGACCGATTCCAGGGCATGTCCCGAGAGATAGGCAGCTCCATGAAGAGTGTCGGAGAGGTACGGGACACACACACTCGCCACTTCAAGGGGACTACTACCATATTGCTTTCACACCTATCTACACGTAGTGCTTAGGGGGTAGGAGCTAGGGGTTGATTTGGGATTCAGGGATAGCCTTAGCCTACTCAATCTTGACATACTTCTGTTCAGTTTACCTTCCATTAGTAGATGTAGGGAGTGATTACTCTAAATAAAACCTGCCTGTCTGTTTATCTTCTTGTTTTAACCTCTCTCCCTCTCCCGTGTCCTCTCAGGTGATGGCGGTGGGGCGTACGTTTGAGGAGAGCATGCAGAAGGCTCTGAGGATGTGCCACCCCTCTGTGGACGGTTTCATGCCCCGCCTGCCCCTCAACAAGCCTTGGTCTGCCCAGCAGGACCTACAACAGGAGCTGGCTGTACCCTCCAGCACACGGGTTTTCTCCCTGGCCAAGGTAGAGACAACACAGAGTGCCTTCAGAAAGTAGTCACACCGCTTTACCTTTTCCACATTTTGTTGTGTTACTGACTGCATCTAAAGTTTATTAAATTTAGATTTTGTGTCACTGGCCTACACACAATACGCCATAATGTCAAGGTGGAATAATGTTTGTAGACATTTTTGAAAAGGTGAAATGTGTTCAGTCAATAGGTATTCACCCCCTTTGTTATGGCAAGCCTAAATAAGTTCAGGAGTAAAGATGTGCTTAACAAGTCACATAATAAGTTCCATGGACTCACACTGTGTGCAATAATAGTGTTTAACATGATTTTTTTATGACTACCTAATCTCTGTACCCCACACATACAATTACCTGTAAGGTCCCTCAGTCGAGCAGTGAATTTCAAACACAGATTCAACCACAAAGACCAGGGAGGTTTTCCAATGCCTCACAAATAAGGGCACATATTGATAGATGGGTAAAAAAAAAAGCAGACATTGATTATCCCTTTGAGCATTGTGAAGTTATTAATTACACTTTGGATGGTGTATCAACACACCCAGTCACTACAAAGATACAGGCGTCCTTCCTAACTCAGTTGTTGGAGAGGAAGAAAACCGCTCAGGGATTTCACCATGAGGCCAATGGTGACTGTAAAACAGTTTAATGGCTTTGATAGGAGAAAACTGAGCATGGATCAACAACATTGTAGTTACTCCACAATACTCCACAATACTAACCTAAATGACAGAGTGAAAAGAAGGAATCCTGTACATCATACAAATATTCCAAAACATGCATCCTGTTTGCAATAAGGCACTAAAGTAAAACTGCAAAAAATGTGGCAAAGAAATTAACTTTAATCGCCTGAATACAAAGTAATATTTTTGGGGCAAATCCAACACATCACTGAGTACCACTCTTCATATTTTCAAGGGTGGTGGCTGCATCATGTTATGGGTATGCTTGTCATCGACAAGGACCACAGAGTTTTTTTAAAAGATAAAAATAAACGGAATAGAGGTAAGCAAAGGCAAAATCCTGGTTCAGTCTGCTTTCCAACAGACACTGGGAGACAAATTCACCTTTCAGCAGGACAATAACCTAAAACACAAGGCCAAATGTACACTGGAGTTGCTTATCAAGACGACATTGAATGTTCCTGAGTGGCCTAGTTACAGTTTTGACTTAAATTGGCTTGAAAATCTATGGCAAAACTTGAAAATGGCTGTCTAGCAATTTTTTTATTTTTTATTTAACCTTTATTTAACTAGGCAAGTCAGTTAAGAACAAATTCTTATTTACAATGACGGCCTACTCTGGACCAATTGTGCGCCGCCCTATGGGACACCCAATCACGGCCGAATTGTGATACAGCCTGGAATAGAACCAGGGTCTGTAGTGACGCCTCTAGCACTGAGATGCAGTGCCTTAGACCGCTGCGCCACTCGGGAGCAATGATCAACAACCAACATGACAGAGCTTGAAGAATAAAAAATAAATAAAAACAATATTAAAAATAAATACAATTTTTACTTGCACAGCCTAGTCAAAAGGTCGCAAAATGTGACTAAATGGTCGCAGTCTGGAATCCTGGTGTGTGTGTGTGTGTGTGTGGGAGATAAACGGAGTGAGGAATCCTTCATTGAACGCAGGATGAAATGATTGATGCTTGTACGATGTATTAAGAAGTAATGGGCCAAATCGTATCAAGCTATGAGACGCCAATAACACTCAAGGTTAGCCTGGCAGCAGAGTCACACTGTGTGTGTCTGTCCCAGTGTGTAACCGTGTGTGTGTGTGTGTGTGTGTAATTTCAGCGTTTTGTTCCCTCAGTGCCTAATTTCATTGTGAGCTGGTTACGTCTTCTATTAGACAGACTGTCCATGTGAATCACACATGGCTGTAAGGCACCACTTAGTGCTGCGTGTGTCCTTCTGCCTTGTGCCGCGTCCCACACATAGCCAGGTAACAGACAGAGCAGCGGTGGAATGTATAGGTGTTGGAGCTGGGCCCGTCACGGCTCATTGGGCCCTGCTTTATATTCCGAAGGCACAGCAGCAGACACCGTTTACAATTACACTGCATCATTCCCTGTATGAGAAGGACTCCACTCAACAATGCCTGATTACTCCATTGCACAACTCAACTGAATGTTTTCTTATCATGTTCTGAATAGGCTGTGTTTTTATAATCATGGTTATAATTCATGCAACTTACTCTGTCAGTCGTGAGACTTGAATGTCTCATCATAATTGATTGACTGGTTCTTCTTACCAGCAGGTGGTAGCAACTAGCTACTTGTTCATGTAAAAGCACAGGTGTTAGAACAGGTGGAATTGTGTTATTGTCATGAGTGTTTAGAATGATTTGATTCTCTCTCTGTCTGTGTGTGTGTGTGTGTGTGTGTGTGTGTGTGTGTGTGTGTGTGTGAGTTGAGAGTAAAGCAGAAGTTAAGTTGAGATGAGTAAAACTGTATTGTATTCTAATGACTCTCCCGGTCTCTCTCTAGGCCCTCCACAGTGGTGTGACTGTAGACCACATCCACCATCTCACTGCCATAGACAAGTGGTTCCTACACAAGCTACGACGGATCACAGAGCTGGAGCAGCATCTGAGCCAGTTCAACAGGTAGGAACACACACACACACACACAAGCACTGTGGCACGCACGCACAGACCCACACGCATGCACACGCACGCAAACATACATATGCATCGGTACACACACACACATGCACGCAAACATACGCACCCACATACACGCATGCATGTACACACACACACACACATACATACACAGACTCACACACACACACAAACTCACGAATTTCACTCCACCACATCACTGTTATGAAAAATAAACTTGATGCATTTAACACTTCTACCACTAGGTGATGCTATGAGGGCACAGTTAAACTGAGACTGTCAGTCTAATGGGGATGTGTTCTTGATGCCCGTTAGTGGCTCACCCACTACTCTATCCCTCCTGCCCCTCCTGCTGTAGAAATACACTCCACCTCCCTCCATTCTCCTCCCTCCCTCTCAGCCAGTCCACCTCTCCTCTCCTCCAGTCTCTCAGTCCTCCTCTCCTCAAGTGTCTTAGCACCTCTCTCCACTTTCTCGCTCTCTCTCTCTCTCTCCACCAATCGTCTTCTCCAGTCTCTCTCTCACTCTGTCCAGCCGCCTCTCTTCTATTCTAATTTTTAATTTAGAAAGCCACTCAGTAAAAGGCACATGACAGCCCTCTTGGAGTTTGCCAAAAGGCATTTAAAGGACTCTCAGACCATGAGAAACAAGATTCTCTGGTCTGATGAAACCACAATTTAACTCTTTGGCCTGAATGCCAAGCGTCATGTCTAGGGCTGTGGCTGTCACGAAATTTCGTCAGCCGATGATTGTCAAGCAAATAACTGCTGTTCTCGCGGTAATTGACCGTTAATTAACATAAACACATTTAGCATCTTCTGGCTTCCACACATAGCCTACAAGCCATTGATGCAGACCTTTGGAACATCTACATTTTAGAAAGTCTAATAAATCCATGTAATATAGCCTACACCTTCACAATAAATCCATTATTTATTTTAGACAGGTCTAAAGAAACATGATATGAAGAAAATGTAGTCTATTCCAGAAGAACAGAATAGCATACTCTGAGTTGTCCTTATGTCTGGCTGTGCCATATGGCTGTGGGCTACACTAGTTCATTTAGTAGACAAGATTTGCTTAGAAATCCGTGGCATTATTTTATAGTATTTTATAGTATGAAGAATACAATTGAATAAAATAGAAAGGATATTTTCTCCAAACGATTTGAGGGAGTGCACACATGCGGTTTTTCTGTGTTGAGCGGTTAACAAAGAAACAGGTACTCCTATATGCTTAATTTAGTTATTTATGTTACTTTAGTTGTGATACAAACATTAGGCTATATGCTTTAATTCTAAGGCTGCATGATGGGACTCTAATTATTATTTGAAAAAAGTTGCTTTGTTTTTTGTGCAGGCTGTACACACTACATCTGTCTCTCGCTCATTCACAATTTGACAAGCACTTGATAATGCCTCGAATTTCCCGGCGGCATCCCCTTTGTGTGGCCGTAATGCCTCCTAAGAAAATCCATGCCTTTTGTGGCCAGTGGCCGTTGTGCCCTTGGGCTGAATAGAACCAAAATCTCACATTTGGACTCATCAGACCAAAGGACAGATTTCCACCGATCTAATGTCCATTGCTCGTGTTTCTTGGCCCAAGCAAGTCTCTTCTTCTTATTGGTGTCCTTTAGTAGTGATTTCTTTGCAGCAATTCGACCATGAAGGCCTGCTTCACACAGTCTCCTCTGAACAGTTGATGTTGAGATGTGTCTGTTACTTGGAACTCTGTGAAGCATTTATCTGGGCTGCAATTTCTAAGGCTGGTAACTCTAATGAACTTATCCTCTGCAGCAGAGGTAACTCTGGGTATTCCATTCCTGTGGTCCTCATGAGAGCCAGTTTCATCATAGCGCTTGATGGTTTTTGCGACTGCACTTGAAGAAAGCTTAGTAGATCCCCCCCTCTGGGATTGTTTATTGATGTCTTACTGATAAACTCTCTGGATGAGCCAGCCAGGTCAGACCTCACTAGGTTGACCTCTATTGTTTACCCTGCAAGAGACTACAGACACAACATGCACATTCACCCCCCCCTTTAATCTCTGATCTTGTTTTCTCTCCTCAGTGCAACATTACCCCAGACTCTGCTGCTGAAGGCTAAACAGGACGGCTTCTCAGACCGCCAGGTGGGCCAGGCCCTGGGCTCCAGTGAGGGGGAGGCCAGAGTGTTGAGGCTGGGCCAGAACATTAAACCCTGGGTGAAACAGGTGAGCAGCCTTCCCTGGGTCCTCCTGGGTCCTGGTCTATGAATGTGTCCCAAATGGCACCCTATTCACCACCCTACATAGTGTACTTCTTAAAAGTAGTCCACTATATTGGGAATAGGGTGCCATTTGGGACGTGTCCAGTATCTCCCACAGGAGCTGAAATGAACTTTCAGGCTAACAACGGCCCTCAACTCCACGTGATACCTCTCTGACATCGCTCTCCTAGCGCCTCCACCTCTGAAAACTGAAAACACACCCTCAGACTTACCTTGTCCTACTAAACAAAAGCACTCCTTTCCTGGCACAGAAATATCACATTGTCACGTGTTTATAGTATTCTAATGAGTATGTTCTGTATTGTAGGAGACATGAAGAAATGATCAGTTTTAATTTTCTGTTCAGATTGACACCCTTGCTGCAGAGTACCCTGCTGTGACCAACTACCTGTACTGCACCTACCACGGACAGGTGAGTCCTTGTCCTGCTTAACTCACGTTCATAATGTATTTGTCCAATGGCCAGTAATTTTTTGGTGCCCTAAGTTAGCTCCTGAATTAGAAAAATGTTTTAATGGGCAATCTGCAGAATAAACAACAACAAAATGGATGCCCAGCCACTTTTTTGGTAAACAGCTGAGGGATGTAAACACACTGCAATTGTTAATAGTATGAGCGATACCTTTATTTGAGAAGATATTAATTAGTATGTGGTCCTTAATGGTGTTTTCCCGTGCATTGTGTTTGTCAGTTAGTTAGGTTAGAAAGATTGAAGAAGTGTCTTTGTGTCCATTCAACAGGAGCATGACTTGGAGTTCAAGGACCAGGGTGTCATGGTACTGGGATGTGGTCCCTATCACATTGGTGAGATGTATTATCATGGTGTTTTCAACATACTATTGAATGTCCACTATCGGCATATCTATTTATTATTGCCATCGAGATGTTAGCTATTAAAATCAGATCCAACAATAATATCAAGGGATTAGAAAACCGGGGCTTAAAAACAAAGGTGTCATTGTACGCTGATGATTCATGTTTAAATCCACAACTTGAATCCCTCAACAGCCTCATAGAGGATCTAGATACATTTTCTAACCTCTCTGGATTACAACCAAATTATGATAAATGTACTATATTACGTATTGGATCACTAAAAAATAAAAAATTTACATTACCATGTAGTTTACCAATAACATGGTCTGATGGTGATGTGGATATACTCGGAATACATATCCCAAATTAAATAAATGATCTCACTCCAAAAAAATGTAATAGAAAGTTAGCAAAAATAGATAAGATCTTGCTACCATGGAAAGGTAAATACCTGTCAATTTGTGGAAAAATCTCCCTGATTAACTCTTTAGTATTATCCCAGTTTACCTATTTGCTTATGGTCTTGCCTACGCCTAGCGAACAGTTTTTTAAATTATATGAAGAAAAAAAAATATTCAATTTTATTTGGAACGACAAGCCAGACAAAATTAAACGGGCCTATTTATATAATGAATATGAATTAGGAGGACAGAAATAATTAAATATGAAAGCATTAGACCTATCACTAAAAGCTTCAGTCATACAAAAGTTATACTTAAATCCGAACTGGTTCTCTAGCAAACTAGTAAGATTGTCTCACCCAATGTTCAAGAAGGGACTTTTTCCCTTTATTCAGATTACAACCCCTCACTTTCAGGTATTTGAAATCTCCCAAATATCACTATTTCTAAGCCATAAAAAGTTGGTTGCAATTTCAATTTAATCCACCAGAAATGACAGAACAAATATTGCAACAAATATTGTGGTTAAACTCAAATATACTAATTGATAAAAAAACGTTCTTTTTTTAGAAAATGTATTAGAAAGTTGCAATCTTCATAAATGATATTATCGGTAGGAATGGTGGAGTTATGTCGCACATGCAGCTAACAAAAACATATGGAAATGTCTGCTCTACCCAAAATTACAACCAAATAATTACAGCATTACCTCAAAAATGAAAGAGGAAAGTGGAAGGAGGAACAAGTAAGGAACTTGTCTGTCGGCCTTGCATTAAAGAACATAATTGGTTAAAGAAAATTGTGATAAATAAAAAAGTTTACCAGTTTCATTTAAGGACCAAAAGATTGACAGCCGTCCCATATAGATTGCAAACTAGTTGGGAAGAGATTTTTGACGTACCGATTCCATGGCATAGTGTTTATGAACTGATACGCAAAACGACGCCAGATTCAAAACGTATAATTTTTCAATTTAAATTATTAAATAAAATTCTTGCTACCAATAGAATGTTATTTGTATGGGGGATACAATCTTCCCAGCTCTGCAGATTTGGCTGTGAAGAGACAGAATCATTAGATCATTTGTTTTGGTACTGTCCATTTGTAGCTTGTTTCTGGACACAGGTCCAGCAATGGCTGAAGGATTGCAATATTTGCATGGAGCTGACCCTGCAGATAGCACTACTGGGTGATCTGAAAACTCATAGTCAATCGATCAATAATATAATAATACTTTTAGCAAAGATGTTTATTTTCAATCTGTAGAAACAATGAGAATAGAAAGGTTCAGAACTTTTGTAAAACATCACAGTACAGTCGAAAAATATATGGCAAATAGAAATCCAATATGGATGGTGTTAAGAGATAGATGTTGAGAGGTGTTGAATGGAGCTGAAGGATGGGACTAATAACAACAACTAATAACAACAAGATAACTAGTGTAAGACATGCTGTCTCCATAATAAGTATATAGGTTACAGTGGGGGAAAAAAGTATTTAGTCAGCCACCAATTGTGCAAGTTCTCCCACTTAAAAAGATGAGAGAGGCCTGTAATTTTCATCATAGGTACACGTCAACTATGACAGACAAATTGAGAATATATTTTCCAGAAAATCACATTGTAGGATTTTTAATGAATTTATTTGCAAATTATGGTGGAAAATAAGTATTTGGTCACCTAGAAACAACCAAGATTTCTGGCTCTCACAGACCTGTAACTTCTTCTTTAAGAGGCTCCTCTGTCCTCCACTCGTTACCTGTATTAATGGCACCTGTTTGAACTTGTTATCAGTATAAAAGACACCTGTCCACAACCTCAAACAGTCACACTCCAAACTCCACTATGGCCAAGACCAAAGAGCTGTCAAAGGACACCAGAAACAAAATTGTAGACCTGCACCAGGCTGGGAAGACTGAATCTGCAATAGGTAAGCAGCTTGGTTTGAAGAAATCAACTGTGGGAGCAATTATTAGGAAATGGAAGACATACAAGACCACTGATAATCTCCCTCGATCTGGGGCTCCACGCAAGATCTCACCCTGTGGGGTCAAAATGATCACAAGAATGGTGAGCAAAAATCCCAGAACCACACGGGGGGACCTAGTGAATGACCTGCAGAGAGCTGGGACCAAAGTAACAAAGCCTACCATCAGTAACACACTACGCCGCCAGGGACTCAAATCCTGCAGTGCCAGACGTGTCCCCCTGCTTAAGCCAGTACATGTCCAGGCCCATCTGAAGTTTGCTAGAGTGCATTTGGATGATCCAGAAGAGGATTGGGAGAATGTCATATGGTCAGATGAAACCAAAATATAACGTTTTGGTAAAAACTCAACTCGTCGTGTTTGGAGGACAAAGAATGCTGAGTTGCATCCAAAGAACACCATACCTACTGTGAAGCATGGGGGTGGAAACATCATGCTTTGTGGCTGTTTTTCTGCAAAGGGACCAGGACGACTGATCCGTGTAAAGGAAAGAATGAATGGGGCCCTGTATCGTGAGATTTTGAGTGAAAACCTCCTTCCATCAGCAAGGGCATTGAAGATGAAACGTGGCTGGGTCTTTCAGCATGACAATGATCCCAAACACACCGCCCGGGCAACGAAGGAGTGGCTTCATAAGAAGCATTTCAAGGTCCTGGAGTGGCCTAGCCAGTCTCCAGATCTCAACCCCATAGAAAATCTTTGGAGGGAGTTGAAAGTCCGTGTTGCCCAGCGACAGCCCCAAAACATCACTGCTCTAGAGGACATCTGCATGGAGGAATGGGCCAAAATACCAGCAACAGTGTGTGAAAATCTTGTGAAGACTTACAGAAAACGTTTGACCTGTGTCATTGACAACAAAGGCTATATAACAAAGTATTGAGAAACTTTTGTTATTGACCAAATACTTATTTTCCACCATAATTTGCAAATAAATTCATTAAAAATCCTACAATGTGATTTTCTGGATTTATTTTCTCATTTTGTCTGTCATAGTTGACGTGTACCTATGATGAAAATTACAGGCCTCTCTCATCTTTTTAAGTGGGAGAACTTGCACAATTGGTGGCTGACTAAATACTTTTTTCCCCCACTGTAAGTATTTGACCCCTCTGCAAAACATGACTTAGTACTTGGTGGCAAAACCCTTGTTGGCAATCACAGAGGTCAGATGTTTCTTGTAGTTGGCCACCAGGTTTGCACACATCTCAAGAGGGATTTTGTTCCACTCCTCTTTGCAGATCTTCTCCAAGTCATTAAGATTTCGAGGCTGACGTTTGGCAACTCGAACCTTCTGCTCCCTCCACAGATTTTCTATGGAATTAAGGTCTGGAGACTGGCTAGGCCACTCCATGACCTTAATGTGCTTCTTCTTGAGCCACTCCTTTATTGCCTTGGCCGTGTGTTTTGGGTCATTGTCATGCTGGAATACCCATCCACGACCCATTTTCAATGCCCTGGCTGAGGGAAGGAGGTTCTCACCCAAGATTTGACGATACATGGCCCCGTCCATCGTCCCTTTGATGCGGTGAAGTTGTCCTGTCCCCTTAGCAGAAAAACACCCCCAAAGCATAATGTTTCCACCTTCATGTTTGACGGTGGGGATGGTGTTCTTGGGGTCATAGGCAGCATTCCTCCTCCTCCAAACACAGTGAGTTGAGTTGATGCCAAAGAGCTTGATTTTGGTCTCATCTGACCACAACACTTTCACCCAGTTCTCCTTTGAATCATTCAGATGTTCATTGGCAAACTTCAGACGGGCCTGTATATGTGCTTTCTTGAGCAGGGGGACCTTGCTGGCGCTGTAGGATTTCAGTCCTTCAGGGCGTAGTGTGTTACCAATTGTTTTCTTGGTGACTATGGTCCCAGCTGCCTTGAGATCATTGACAAGATCCTCCCGTGTAGTTCTGGGCTGATTCCTCACCGTTCTCATGATCATTGCAACAACACGATTGAGATCTTGCATGGAGCCTCAGGCAGAGGGAGATTGACAGTTCTTTTGTGTTTCTTCTGTTGTCACCTTCTCACCAAGCTGCTTGGCGATGGTCTTGTAGCCCATTCCAGCCTTGTGTAGGTCTACAATCTTGTCCCTGACATCCTTGGAGAGCTCTTTGGTCTTTGCCATGGTGGAGAGTTTGGAATCTGATTGATTGATTGCTTCTGTGGACAGGTGTCTTTTTATACAGGTAACAAGCTGAGATTAGGAGCACTCCCTTTAAGAGTGTTCTCCTAATCTCAGCTCGTTACCTGTATAAAAGACACATGGGAGCCATACATCTTTCTGATTGAGAGGGGGATCAAATACTTATTTCCCTCATTAAAATACAAATCAATTTATAACATTTTTGACATGCGTTTTTGTTGTTGTTATTCTGTCTCTCACTGTTCAAATAAACCTACCATTAAAATTATAGACTGATCATTTCTTTGTCAGTGGGCAAACGAACAAAATCAGCAGGGGATCAAATACTTTTTTCCCTCACTGTGTGTATGTGTGTGTATATATATATATATATATATATATATATATATATATGCGAGAAGAAAAAAAAACATGGGGGATTGGATGTGATGCAGACAATTACATTGATGGAAGTTACAATCTAATAATAATAATAATATGCCATTTAGCAGACGCTTACAGTCATGCGTGCATACATTTTTGTGTATGGGTGGTCCCGGGGATCGAACCCACTACCTTGGCGTTACAAGCGCCGTGCTCTACCAGCTGAGCTACAGAGGACCACCTACCAATCTATCTGCAATATTAAAGCTGATATACCCCCTAAAAAAACAAACATACTATTGAATGGTTTTACTCTAGCCTGGTGGTAGCAGACATAGAAATGTAATTATTTCTATGGTAGCCGATCTGTTTGCGATCCGGCAACTCCTCTGTCATGTGTGTTCGTTGTCGTAACAAACATGTATCAAACTAAAATAAATTAAATCAAATTAATATTTGAAAGTTGTTAGTTATAATAATACAATTATAAAGTTGTTGTTATCCCCCCTGTCCACTAGGGAGCAGTGTGGAGTTTGACTGGTGTGCAGTGTCCAGTATACGAGCCCTGCGTCAGATGGGCAGGCGGACAGTGGTGGTAAACCACAACCCTGAGACTGTCAGCACGGACTTTGACGAATGTGACCGCCTGTACTTCGAAGAGTTGACCCTGGAACGCATTCTGGACATCACACAGCAAGAGGTGAGAAGTCAACACACACACATGAACGTTCAGAGACACACGTACACAAACACAGATGCACAGATGCGCAGAAACACACATACACGTATACGCATACACATTAGTGATGGGGGGAAAAATTGATAGTTACATATCGGGATGTTATTTTTTATGATATATCGTATCGTTTTGACAATATCGCAATATTATTTTGGCGCTAGTTGCCTGTACCTGCACCAAAACAATATTTTTCCGTCACAGCCTTTTCTCCATATTCTTTTTAAATAAGGAGCCAATTAGTTTTCAGCACTTTTATTTCCATGACTGATCAAAACTAGTTTTCTCATTGCTCTGTCTTGTCCCTCTGCAGTAGACATATAAAGCTCGCCATCTTGTAGTCCTAAAACCCAGAAATTAGTTACCTCTGGTTTGTTCAGACCTTCCTATGGGGAAGATGAATGGGGGAAAGAATAGGGTTTTGGGATAAATGCCGAAAATAAGGAATGAGGTTAACACAGGCTTAGGCAATCTTATACGTTTTGTTCTATGAAATAAAATTAGTTAGTTAACATGTCCTTTATGAATTATGTTTTTATGTGCTTTTTTTATTACATAAATGCCTAAAAATTCACGAAAAGTGACGTTAGCTGATGAAGATTATCTCATAGAAAAAAACGTATAAGATCTCCTAACATGCTGACCAAACCGGCCACGTTGCGTGCGTGAGCATTGCAAAATAAATGTACACATACAATAATTTCATCCAAACTGCCCGCGCGCGTCAACGGGCGTCTGCGTAGCCAGGTGCTAAAATAGAACTTGGTTATATTTTAGACGCTTAATGCGCTACAAGTCCCACATGGGTGACTGAAAGATGAACGAGGTCCACACTCCAGTCTAGTTGGTGGCGGTGATGCACCTTAAAGTTGGCTACCAACCGCCATATAACATCCACAGAAGAAGAAGAAGAAGAGGAAGGATGATTAATAAAAAAAAATGAACTAGGTTTCCCCATTTTATCTGTGGATTAATTGTCGGAATTGAGAACACACAATTTTGTATGACTCAAAATGCATACAAATTCTACAAAGATCCAGCAAAAAAAAAGGACCATGTGCATTTCAGGTAAAATAACAATCTTTATCTCCCAGGACAAATTAGCTAGCAATAGCAAGCTAGCTAAATGTTCATGAATGTTTCATGTGTGTTTCGACCTGTAGTTGGTTCACAGTTGGTTTTGGTATTTTAACCTGTGTGTCATGAACGCTTCTGGCGGGGATAGACATAATCAACATGCTCACAATGGTGCACGCAGACGCACATACGGAGATGGTTTGGTCAGCATGTAAGCCTGTGTTTACCACAGACCTTATTGTCGTCGTTTATCCAAAAACCCTCCAAAAACGCAATTAATTTCCCCATAGGCTTTGTCCAATGAATAATGGTGGAGTTGGTGCCTACAAAAAGACGCCATTACTATTGCTCTCTATGGTGAGCAATATGTTTGGAACATCGAATCACAATAAAATCACAGTATCGAATCGCAATACATATAGAATCATGAGAATAATGTATTTAAAAGGCAGGTAGCATAAATGTAACCACATGTTTCATATGGATTTGCATTAGTATACAGTACACAGCAAAAGGCCCAATGCAAAGTTAAACCTCACTTTTCTAATCAGAATGCCGAAGTCATGTCGGAAAAAGTTTTTCCGGGGTGTGATGTAATATGGAGGACCCGGCAAGCTAGCCTATTCCCTATAATGTAAACTCAAACAGAAAGTACTTTAAATGTATAACTTCAAATTAACTCATGACTACTGGGGTTTCAATTACATTTTCAGCCAACTTACAAGAAAATACTTTATTAATTTATTGTTACAAATCAACTTGCAAGGTTGCTAGCCTGCTAAGTTAGCCCTACTAGCCTGCTAATGTTAGCCCACCAGCCTGCTAACGTTACACTTGCACTGAATGAGTCAGCCAGTTGCTATCAACACCTAGCTTACAGCTACATTAAAGTAAACCAACGTTTTGGAAATATATAACGCCATCTAACCAAATATCAAAGAATGTTAGCTATATGCAGTTATCTTAGCCAGCCAGCTAACATGAGCTATTTAGCCAACTAATGCTAGCTATTAGCCAGCCTAGCCAACCAGCATGGCTATGGTTGGCATGCTAGAGCCCAACTACTGGAGACCAGTTAGAACACAACTAACATAACACAACTAAAACATAACCACAGATCAAAAGAGCAGAGACTTACAGATTGATGGCTGGGGCCCATCCGATGGGAAGAGTCAGGGAAAATCCAATAGCGAGAAAAATCCAAGATACATAGATTCCAGATGTCAGCCAGCTAGCGAGCTAGCTCTAAACCAAGGTGGAAAAAGTTACATAACTCCTGTAGCCTACTTATCAGAGAACATGCTTTACAAAACAAAAAGGAGAACAGATGAGGTACCACCGTTACATAATTAGCTTAATCAGGTAGGATTTTCTCTTTTGTTTTGAGCCAACGGCAAGAAGGCACCAGAGCCTGCAGTGCTAACGGGTTCCCACTAGATAACACAGCCGCAAAGTCCGTGAAGAGCTAGCATACAAACTCAGTAGCACAGAGTAGAGCCTCCATATGACATTGAGAAATAGTGCATAGTGGGTAGTTTCAGAAATAACGTAATAAATATATAAATACCCCAAAACATAACTATATTTGTAATTATAGGTAACCAGATCTTGACTACAACTAAGTTACTAAGTCTTTGACCACAATGTGTTGTTACTTTGGTGAGTAAAAATTAATGCTTCCTACCCTTTAATGCTTAAAATGCCATTTTTTAAAATCGATTTTCCGTGAAAATAAATTTGAAATTTATACAATTCCATGTGAATTCACAATGCATCTGCTCTGCTGCCAGCAGCGGTTTGGGTCTCACGGTGCGTCACTTTCAGATGGTTAAGCATTGCAGCTGTACTACCATTACTGTACCTCAATTCCACCTCGCAAAGTTTGCATTTCCTTCTCATTTAACTTCTCAAAGTATTGCCATACAGGACTTCGCTGCTGTCGCTGGCCTTTTTCTGCCATTTTTCCAACCGTTGACGACGATGATGAAGTGGTGGTGAGTCGACTCGAAAATAAGTGATTCCTCGACTCCTTGCACGTCGACTCCTGGGGTCGACTCCCATTTCTGAGTGTCAAAATTGGATTCCGCTAGGAGAACACAAACACTTGCATCTTTCATAGCGAGTTAGCTAGAGACGGAAAGAGAGGGGAGCGGCACAGTATGTCTCGCAACTTCAGTAAAGCAGGGCCTATCATCAGTGAATAACCTAGGATATTGAGATGAGCTAGATGCAACACTTCGCTCTCACACAGTCACACACAGTATCTGCGCATGTGCATGGGTTCGCTTCACGCTGTTCACAGCGTGGTAGCCAGGGCACCAAAACAGTAGGAGAAGTTGAGCCTCGCACTTCAATGCTCATAGTTGTTGCGGAAATTGACCCACTATGCTGTTTATTTTTTGCATCGACGTAAAAAACTATAAACATTGTTTTTCGGTTAGGGATTTTTCTTAACGTTAACCATTTACACTCGTGGGAATTGGCCTTCATGGAAAGGGCTAAGTTGAAATCTTACAGAACAAATATGAAAAGCATACGCATAACCATGGCAGCAATTGAAAGGGAACAGTTTCGAGATTATGGGAAAATTATTATACCAAAGGTGAGGACACAACAGTTCACCTGACACAAGACTGAATCCAAATATTACCCTGTTGATTTTGTGCATTTTACATTTACTGTACTTTTCGCCGCATTTGTTGATAACGAAATCTGAAAATATTCTTTATACATTCAGTAACATGATGAGGGGGTAGGTGCAACATAAGACAAAAAAAGACAAGGGTTTGAGTGAGAGGACTAACTGGTGTCTCCCAAGTGGCCACACACCTCTCCAAAGTGTGCACAGTTCCTATGTAATTTCAATGCATTTTTATGAATAAAAGAAGATTCTTAAACTATAAGGTGCTTTTTTGAGCTCGCCTTGCTGTGCCATTGAGGAACTAGAGCAAACACACGTTGTTGTTTTGTTTGGAACACAACCCTGCATCGCTGCCCTCACAAAGTTACTGTTGTTGTTTACGCAATCCAAAAACGGACCATTATAAATCGCACTCTGGGTCAGGTGGGCATAATTTGAAAGCCTTTTCTATTGCCAACATGACTAGCTAAGTTATAGAATACAATATTACAGTGTTAGACTTTCACAATGCAATTCAAAGGAGTCATGAGTGCCTTCAGGTGCGTGTGCCGTGACACATTTTCTCCACAATAGACAAACAGGCTCATTCTGTTCAGAACAACCTAGGGTATGACGTCATGTCATCTTGTAACTGTATATCAAACATAGTGATCATAAACATTGAGACTGTAAATGTTATGAGTTTTATGATATGGAAATGTTTAGTGCACATTTGGAGTCATGGGTGTATGTCTGTAGCGGTGGCGGTGCTTGCTTAGTTCGTAGCCCAACTGTATTGGAGCCCAGAGGAGAACATACTCAGGGCTTGCAGCCAAGTGTTAGCCTCCTGGCAGAGGCAACCAGGTTTTTGGCTAAAATGTCCTGGTACAGTAGCTTGCGAAAGTATTCATCCCCCTTGGCATTTTTCCCATTTTGTTGCCTTACAACCTGGAATTAGAATTTATTTTTGGGGGGTTTGTATCATTTGATTCACACAACATGCCTACCACTTTGAAGATGCAAAATATTTTTTGTTTCACAAGAAATAAGACAAAAAACTGAACTTGAGTGTGCTTAACTATTCACTCCCCCAAAGTCAATACTTTGTAGAGCCACCTTTTGCAGCAATTACAGCTGCAAGTCTCTTGGGGTATGTCTCTATAAGCTTGGAACATCTAGCCACTGGGATTTTTGCCCATTCTTCAAGGCAAAACTGCTCCAGCTCCTTCAAGTTGGATGGGTTCCGCTGGTGTACAGCAATCCTTAAGTCATACCACAGATTCTCAATTGGATTTAGGTCTGGGCTTTAACTAGGCCATTCCAAGACATTTAAATGTTTCCCCTTAAACCACTCGAGTGTTGCTTTAGCAGTATGCTTAGGGTCATTGTCCTGCTGGAAGGTGAACCTCCGTCTCAGTCTCAAGTCTCTGGAAGACTGAAGCAGGTTTCCCTCAAGAGTTTCCCTGTATTTAGCGCCATCCATCGTTCCTTCAATTCTGACCAGTTTCCCAGTCCCTACCGATAAAAAACCTCCCCACAGCATGATGCTGCCACCACCATGCTTCACTGTGGGGATGGTGTTCTCGGGTGATGAGAGGTGTTGGCTTTGCGCCAGACATAGCGTTTTCCTCCAATTTTAGTCTCATCTGACCAGAGTACCTTCTTCCATATGTTTGGGGAGTCTCCCACATGCCTTTTGGCCAACACCAAACGTGTTTGCTTATTTATTTCTTTAAGCAATAGCTTTTTTCTGGCCACTCTTCCGTAAAGCCCAGCTCTGTGGAGTGTACGGCTTAAAGTGGTCCTATGGACAGATACTCCAATCTCCGCTGTGGAGCTTTGCAGCTCCTTCAGTGTTATCTTTGGTCTCTTTGTTGCCTCTGATTAATGCCCTCCTTGCCTGGTCTGTGAGTTTTGGTGGGCGGCCCTCTCTTGGCAGGTTTGTTGTGGTGCCATATTCTTTCAATTTTTTTATAATGGATTTAATGGTGCTCTGTGGGATGTTCAAAGTTTCGGATATTTTTTTATAACCCAACCCTGATCTGTACTTCTCCACAACTTTGTCCCTGACCTGTTTGGAGAGCTCCTTGGTCTTCATGGTGCAGCTTGCTTGGTGGTGCCCCTTGCTTAGTGGTGTTGCAGATGCTGGGGCCTTTCAGAACAGGTGTATATATACTGAGATCATGTAACAGATCATGTGACACTTAGATTGCACACAGGTGGACTTTATTTAACTAATTATGTTACTTCTGAAGGTAATTGGTTGCACCAGATCTTATTTAGGGAATTCATAGCAAAGGGGGTGAATAGAAATGCACGCACCACTTTTCCGTTATTTATATTTTAGAATTTTTTGAAAAAAGTACTTTTTTTCATTCCACTTCACCAATTTGGACTATTTTGTGTATGTCCATTACATGAAATCCAAATAAAAATCAATTTAAATTACAGGTTGTAATGCAACAAAATATGAAAAACGCGAAGGGGGATGAATACTTTTGCAAGGCACTGTACTTGGTAAAAAGTTAATGATGCCGCTGAACTTAACAAGGCCCCAGGACCAGTGGAAGCAAAATAGCCCCATAACACCAAAGATCCACCACCATATTTTACTGTAGTTATGAGGTACTTTTCTGCATATGCTTCTGTTTTTCAATGCCAAACCCACCACTGGTGTGCGTGGCCATAGAGCTCTTATTTTCATCTCATCTGACAATAGCATCTGACATTTTAGCCATAAACTTGGTTGCCTCTGCTAGGAGGCTGACACCTGTCCACAAGTGGATCTTCCAGCAAGACAATAACCCCAAGCACACATCAAAATCCTCAAAGAAATGGTTAATTGACCACAAAATCTAAATGTTGTATTGGCCATCTCAGTCTCCGGAATTGAACCCCACTGAAAAACTTTTTAGCATGCAACATAGCTCTATATTTGTATAATTTATTTGATAGTCTTTTTTTGCTCATCTTTATCAAGGGTGCCAATAATTATGTACCTGACTTAGGTGTAGTTTCGATGGGCCATCATCAGCTGCGCAGGCTGACTGCCAGTTAATTATTTGTGGTGAGTGAGGGGCAGGGGGAAAACATGACATGACCTCTTAAAACCGCTTATAACACAAATTATGTTTGTGATATTAAGATTCTAACAATGACATTGTGTTATATAGACTTATTAAGGAAAAGCCAAGGATGGGGGGTGACACGTGACTTTAAAAATGGCAGAGTAATTAAAAAGTAAATTTGTTTTTGAATCAACATGACGCTATCGGCTCAGCTAGTGTTAAACCAAAGCCTTGTAGCCTGGTTTCAGTGAGGGGCTGTTATAACACCCTATTCCCTACATAGTGCACTACTTTTGACCGAGCCCTATGGGCCCTGTTCAAAAGTAGTGTACTAAATACTGCACTAAATAGGGAATAGGGTGCAATTAGGGATGCACAGTTGACTTTTCCCTCCAGAGGAAAGTAATCCAGTTAAAGTGGAGATGGGATCAGCCTGGTGATTAACTGGTTTTTGATTCAGGGAGATAACATTACCACCATCCCTCCTCTCCTCTCCTTTCCTCTCTTCGATGAAGGTTTATTGAAATGTATGAAACCTTTTTATATTTTTTTATATTACAAAACATCTCAACAAGCACCCAGTAGCCTATTCACAACCATCTTATTTCACCTTATTATAAAAGTAAAACACATTTTTGTCTGTGAACGTTGAGAAAAACAGCAGATTTATTTTATATAAATAAATAATGTTGTAACCTGACTAAACTCCTACTTCTCTACTGTGAGTCTCCAGGGCTGTACAGGCAGCATCGTGTCCGTAGGGGGTCAGATTCCCAATAACCTGGCCATGCCTCTGCACCTGAACGGGGTCAATATCCTAGGAACCAACCCCCTGCAGATCGACCGAGCCGAGGAAAGATCAGTGTTCTCCACCATCCTGGATGAACTGGGGGTGGCCCAGGCCCCATGGAAGGCCCTCAGCTCACTGGTGAGACACATGCACACACACAACACAAAAAAACTGTCCCCTTAGTGTCTGAAGTGCAGAGACGTGTAGACAGAGACCGAAGTGCTGAAATGTGTCTGACTATCCGCTCCCTTAGTGTTGCACTGTTCCTGTCTCTCCTGGGCCTACAGGGAGAGGAGGGGAAAGGGAATAGGCTGTCTCGGCTTAGACAGGGATATGTACTGTAGAAGGAAGAAAACAGGGTTAGCGAAGACATGGTGATGTTAGAATGGAGGAGCGAGACAGAGCGAGAGAAAGAGAAGACTAGACTTCCTCATAGAAACTTCCTACACATTCCATATTTCTGTGGGTTTTTCTCTCTCTCTCTCTCACCTTCTCGCTCTCTCGCACCTCGCTCTCTCACCTCTCTCTCTCTCTCTCTCTCTCTCTCTCTCTCTCTCTCTCTCTCACATCTTCTCTCACCTACTCCATCTTTCTATCTCTCACTTGTATTTTAAGTGGTGAGTTGTTTTTAGACTTCAGAACAATCCAGGAGAGTCGACAGAGCCAATATCCCTAGGACCCAATCTGTGTCTCTGTTCTGTTCAACTGTTGTGTAATGATGGAGAAAACAAAGAGCGAGCGAGAGAGGGATTGAGACAGAAAGAGAGAGAGACTGAGTGAAATAAAGCGAGAATGACAGAGAGAGAGACAGACAGGCAGGCATCACTTGATGCTATAAGTATAAGTTGTAATTGGAACCAATGCTTTAACCCTCATCTCCTCTGATTTTCAGGAAGATGCCTTTGCCTTTGCCAATAAAGTGGGCTACCCCTGTCTCCTGCGCCCCTCTTACGTACTCAGGTAAGCTACCCCTGTCTCCTGCGCCCCTCTTACGTACTCAGTTAAGCTACCCCTGTCTCCTGCGCCCCTCTTACGTACTCAGGTAAGCTACCCCTGTCTCCTGCGCCCCTCTTACATACTCAGCTAAGCGTCTCCTGCGCCCCTCTTACATACTCAGGTAAGCTTCAATTGTTTTGTTTACCCCTTTTTTCTCCCCAATTTCGTGATATCCAATTGGTAGTTACAGTCTTGTCCCATCGCTGCAACTCACCTACGGACTCGGGAGAGGCGAAGGTCAAGAGCCACGCGTCCTCCGAAACATGACCCTAACAAGCCGCACTGCTTTTTGACACACTGCTCGCTTAACCTGGAAGCCAGCCGCATCAATGTGTCGGAGGAAACACTGTACAACTGGCGACACGAGTCAGTGTGCATGCGCCCGGCCCGCCACAAGGAGTCGCTAGAGCGCGATGGGACATCCCGGCCGGCCAAACCCTCCCCTTCCCCGGACGACGCTGGGCCAATTGTGCGCCGCCTCGTGGGTCTCCCGGTCACGGCCGGCTGCGACACAGCCTGGGATCGAACCCGGGTCTGTAGTGATGCCTCAAGCACTGCGATGCAGTGCCTTAGACCGCTGCGCCACTCGGGAGGCTCTTGTAAGCTTCGATTTCAATTCAATTCCATTTCAAATCAGTAATTGGAATTTCAGTTTACTTCCTGTATGGACTGAATTTAAATGGAATGGACCCCAACCGAGCTCATAACCAATCTTGCCTCGTTTATGTTGGCCAGGCCTCTACAGTAATGTGATGTATTTTCTAATATGAAAACTTGTTTGTACAGCCACACCATATGTCCAACTAGAAAACACATTTTAGAGTAATTGAATGTATCTCAGAAGAATAAATAAATATGACAGTCAGTGTGAAGAAACACAAAAGGAAATATGGAAGGGAGGGTATAAAAAGCAGCGAAAGCGGAGGCTCAATTTAGCGTTTTAATATTTTGTCACGGCTACCACTGTGATGCTGCTCAATTACCAGAATGAAAAGATAGCCTACATCCTGAGATGAACACAATTTATTACAACGTGTGTGTGTTAATGTGGAGCTGGTATTGGGGAGGTCTGGATTGCTAATTTGCACATAATCAAGCAACAGCGTTGGTTTTGAAAGCGTATTGGGTGGCTAATTTTGGTACTCGAGTCGACACAGCTCTCACACACACACACACACACACACACACACACACACACAACCCCCCCCCCCAGCTCGCATGCTCAGGAGAAGAGCAGCATCAGACATAGGTGAGTTAGGCTGTTAGGTTGCTGCTTCTTGTTTTAGTTTGCTAACAAGTCATCCATGATGGAGTGATTAGGAATCTCAGGTCCCCAAGGCCTGTCTATGGTCTTGTAGGAACTGGAGGCATCTCCCTCTTAACTGTATTACCTTATTGGTTTCCTACTCCTCCCCTCTCCTCCCTTTCTCCCCTCCTCTCTTGCCTGACTGCCTGTCCGTCAGTCTTACCATCCGTCTGTCTTCCTCTATTATTACGTCATTGTGTTTAGTGTGTTTGGGCCTACCTCTCATCAGACCATTACTAATTATGATTAGCTTGGAAGATGATCGATCTCTAAATGCAGTTCAGCCACTCACACTAGATATCCATTGTTTGAGTATGTTGTAATTCAAAAAATGAAATCACTAAGCCAATGATTGATTGTGATATATGCCAATGATTTTGTCCAAAGCTATTACAGTAATGCATGCATGCATTTTCATATGGGTGATGATCCCAGTGGTAATCAAACCTACAATCCTGGCGTTGCAACCAACTGAGCCACAGAGGAATCTTTTCTCCTTGAACCCCCTATAATGTACATGGCTTTTTAAAGACAGGTGGCTGGCTGGTTGGCCATATGTGTGCCTTGCAGCAGTCAGGCCAAAGGAGGTAGAAGTTGTGACTGTGCCTGACCTTCCCCTGTCCCTCTAGTCTATGGCTGTGTCCCAAATAGCACCATATTCCCTTTATAGTGCATTACTTTTGACCAGGGCCTATAGTGAAACCCATAGGGCTCTGGTCAAAAGTAGTGTACTATGTTGGGAATAGCGTGGCATTTGGGACACAGACTATCCACTCTCACTCTGGCTGCGTTCATGAGCATGTGGATGCCCAACTAGCCGGCCAAAAGAAGAAGGGAGAAAAACATAAATACCCCGAATACATATTTTTTAATGACTCAGCTCTGAAAGCAAACTCATTCTGAAGAGCCTGGAGTGTTTGCTGACCTAAATCTCTCTTTTTATTTTTCTGAACTTTTTTGTTTTGCTGTTTAAAACCTTTCTTCATCTTGATTATAATGATGCAACTGGGAGATATCAACAATTGAGCTAAAAAAACGTATTTTCCTCTTGTTTACATCCTCTTCTCTCTCTCTCTCCAGTGGCTCAGCAATGAACGTGGCATATGGTGAAGAAGAGATGAGGGGCTTCTTGGACGAGGCTACTCAGGTGTCTCAGGTGATCCAGGGAACTTTATTTGCTGTGTCCCAAATGGCACCCTATTCCCTATATGGTGCACCACTTTAACTGATCATTTGATATGAAAACTCAGTCTCACCCAATTCTGCCTGTTCCTACTCAACATAGAAAATCCTTTTAACACGTACACTCACAGACTCACCCACCCTGTGAGTTACAAATACAATTTCTTCATTATGCACACACACGTAAAACCCCCTCTCTTATAAAAAGGCTTACATGGAGAAATGAAGTGTATATCGGCTCCCTAGCCAACCACAGATAAAACTCGCCTAAAAAATAAAGAACAAAACTGCCCAAAACTCTCTCCTTGCGATCCAAATGGCACCCTATTCCCTATATGGTTCGCTACTTTTAAACAGCCCATTGTGCCTTGCTCAAAAGTAGTGCACTACATAGGGAATAGGTTGCAATTTGGGATGCAGTCTTTGTCTACGTCTACTCACCTACTGTACACACACATACACAGTTCCTCTGAGCTCAATCAGCTTGTGCCCATCACTGGCACCTTCTCAATATGGATGAGTGTAGTATGTTGGCTGTGGGGTAGAGCTGATTTAGTTGTTTACCTGTCTCTCTGCCCACACACACACACACACACTCCCTCTGGGTGCTGGTGGTCCACCTGGCCCCTCAACATACCCCTGCCTGGGGCTGACAGAGCAGCTGGCCTCCCTGTCATGCTACCACACCACACTATACCAGGCCTGGTCATACACACACATACACCTCCCCTTGCTTACTGTCAGCTAAGCAGCACTTCTCTAGCCAGGAGAAGGAGAAACGGCCTGTGACCTGAATAGACATGGCCTGCCTGCCTTTTGACAGCACACAGCATCACTCACCTGTCTGTCAGGGGCAACACACATACCACGCACTACGCCAAGAGGAGCTCTACCACAGGAGGTTGGTGGCACCTTAATTGTGGAGGACAGGCTCGTGGTAATGGCTGGAGTGGAATAGTATCAAATACATCAAACATATGGTTTCCATATGTTTGATGCCATTCCATTCGCTCCGTTTCAGACATTATTATGAGCCATCCTCCCCTCAGCAGACTCTACTGAGCTCTACTCATGGCTTTGTGACTCACCGTGGCCATCCGGCTAGCTGTACAAATCACATGTGTAACTGGTATGATAGTATGTATCAGGAAGCTGGGCTGCTGTAGAATCCCAATAGAAACAGCTCATTAAGAAGGGCTGCATCCAAAATGCAGCCCTACTCCAACATAGTGCAGCAGAGCACACTTCAAGCCTGTATCCAAAATGGAATCATATTCCCTATATATATATAGTGAACTACTTTTGATGAGAGCCCTATGGACCCTGGTCGAAAGTAGAACACTATATAGGGAATAGGGTGCCATTTCAGAGTTAGATATCTGATGTTATTTTTCCTACAGGAGCATCCAGTGGTCATCACCAAGTTCATCCGTGGAGCCAGAGAGGTGGAGGTGGATGCAGTGGCCAAGATGGGAAAGGTGAGCCAGTTTGATGTACAACACACACACTCTCACACACGCACACTCACACACCTCACAATGTGCTATGTGCACTATATGCTACTTAGCAGACACTTGCTTTCAGTGCCTTGCAGTACAGTGAGTGCATGTGTATATTTTCAGTATGTGTATGTGATTCCTGCTGGAATTGAACCCATGACATTTTTTTAACCCATTTTATCAACTGAGCCATACAG